TTGGCGGGATGTCAGTCACGTGATCAGCGCCCCGCGTTGATCGTTACCTTCTGACGTGGTCGTCGGTTGGCGTTCCGCGCCAACTCCTTCATCAAGGGTGGAGTTCCTTTTGTTGCTTGTAACATAAAAGTGGCTCGTTGACTGAACTGGCTCGTTGACTGCGCACAGACGTTACCTGTTCGGTTTTTCCCTTGTGTACGGTGTCGGCGTGACTGACACAAACGCGTACTGCACTGCAAGGCACAGTAGCGGCTGGACACGTTCTGTTCCTATTGAAGATCTTGTGTTTTTGTTTGCTAAGAGAGGATTATGATATGTTTGCACAATGACATCACCGTGAAGAACATCAAGCTTAGCTTTCCATCCGACCGGGCAGTCATCTTCCTCTCATCGTCCGGCATGAACATGACTCAACGTACCGCGCAGGCCTTGGGTAACTTAGAAACATGGCTTTGCTTGAGTTCCAGATCACTTCCCCGGCTTGACCCGATCGTTCTCTCCTACCAACCTAGCTTTTCGCTCTGACTTAGCGTCCATTTGTACAAGATGCGGCGGATGCGGCTGCCATAACACCGAAAAGCTAGGTTGGTAGGAGTAACACTGATAGGCGACTGTCGGCTATATGAAAGAAGACGTAGAGAAAACGACAACACCGTAAACGTATAAGACCGTCAGCTACTCATAAGTGTCTTCTTTCGACCTATTCATCATCTCCTCCTTTGTCGCTTTATTGGCATCCATTCCATTTTCGTCAACATGTCCGTCTCTCAAAGTGACACAAAAATGAACAACTCCATCGATATAGAGCCTTCTGGATCGTACCCAAGACAGGCTATCACCCAAGCCTACCAAGAGCTACTTGCGAATCAAGCCTCTCAGCCGGACAAAATATTCATCGGTGGCCACGAGCTCAAGCATCTTGATCCCAACTTCGTATCCCTGGATGAAGATGCACAAGAACATCCTCGTGTAAGTAGAATTACACTTACGCTGGTCCTAGAGCTGAAACTATGTCCCAGTCATGGCCGACCGCTAAGAAAATTCGGGCAACCGCTATTGTCGGAGGCTGCTGTTTCCTCTCCCCATTCGCAAGCACCATATTCGCACCATCCATTCATCTGGTTATGAAAGACCTGAGTATCACGGACAGTACTGTCGGCGCTCTGCAAGTCTCCATCTTTCTCTTTGCATTGGCTCTTGGCCCGCTCTTTATCGCTCCACTTAGTGAGAAGTACGGTAGAGCGGTTATCATACACTTAGGCAACGTTATCTTTGTTGCATTCTCCCTCGGAGGAGGCTTCTCACGAACCGCTGCACAATTCTCGGTGTGCCGTTTGTTTGCTGGATTCGGAGGCAGTGCGGCCATTGCTGTTGTTGGTGGAGTCGTTGCGGATCTCTGGGATCTTGCTGCCCGTCCGAAAGCATCTGGACTCGTGATGCTCGGCCCGTAAGTTTATGCTTGTACATTTTCAGCAGTCTTGCTTACCAGGAACAGTGTTCTAGGCCCCGTCTTGGGTCCTGTATGTGGCGGCTGGATGTCGGAGCGAGTCTCATGGCGCTGGACTCTTTGGATACCTGCAATCGCCAGCGCCTTACTCTCAATGGTTGGGCTTTTTCTCCTCCCAGAGTCCTTTGGACCAAGAATTCTGCAGAAGAAACTGCGAAGAGAACGCAGTACCAATCCTAGCGCCGAACTATATACCGTACTGGATCTTCAGCACCGTCCGACTGACCCCACAGCGCTTGTCAATGCGTTCATTCGACCTTTGGCATACCTTGTGCTTGATCCTGCGCTACTGCTTGCATCTCTATTCTACTCCGTGGTTTTTGGCGTTGTATACCTCATTATCGTTACGTACGCAGATGTGTTTGGTTCCGGATACGGACACTCTGTCGGAATCGTTGGTACAGACTTCCTCGCTGCTGGTATCGGTATGCTTCTTGGTACATTCGCCACTATCCGTGCTATGGAAGCTATCTTCAAGCGAGACACCGCATCTGGACAAATGAAGTACAGACCTGAGTCGAGACTCATCAGCTGCCTTGTTGGAGGAACATTATTGGTCGGTGGGCTGTTCATGTATGGGTTTACCGCCACACGAACCCACTTCATGGTTCCACTCGTGGCTATCATGCTCATGATGGCCGGAGGCATGAACATCCAACTCGCCCTACAACTGTACGCCATCGATGCCTTCAAGTTTCCCGCTTCTGCCGTCGCTGCCATTTCGTTCCTTCGCTGCATGTTCGCTGGTGCATTTCCGTTATTCGGAGAGAAACTCTTCGCCAAACTTGGCCTAGACTGGGGTGTGGGATTGCTGGGATTTCTAGTCCTAGGCGTGGGATTGCCGCTGGTACTACTGGTATTTGCAAACATCTGTTCTTGTTAATTGGAAATAACTGACCTCATCATGCAGCTATACATCTATGGCGTCAAACTTCGCACGAAAGGTGCTGAGCGCATGGAACGTTTCGAAGGATCGAAAGCAGCCATGAGTTAACATATTCTGGGGTAATCTGTCCGAACGCCTTCTTACGATAGACACCCATCAGGGTTTGAGTTGCACTGCAACTCCAAGTGCGAGCAATCCTGTAACCTGCTCAATCAAATCCAGCCAGATTTGACTCAGGTGGACCTAAATAGCTGTTCTTGACCCCGCCTCTGGTATCCAAAACAAGCTTCTCCAAGTAGACCTCAGGACTGTTAACGCTCCAACGAAGCGTGTGAGCCCCTTCCTTTGCTTCACCAAGACTAACTTTCTTTGTCCACACCTGATTCATTACGTTGTCCGTCCATTCGGGTGGCACATCGCCCGCGTCCTTCGGGTCACCTAACACACGTGTGAAGTTTTGAGGAGCGTCATCAAGAGAAAGTGAAAACTCCATGAGAAGGTTGGGATCTGTATCTAAGCCAGCGTTGATGTAGATAGTGGCGTTGAGGGCAGGAGTGTCCTTGAAGAGGTAGATATCATATTCAACATATGCGGATTTTGAGTCGAGAAGAGAAGCCCGAGCAGCGTGGAAAGGCCGCAGAGCCACGGAGCCGGATTCAGTGCGCGTGCCAAGGTATGGAACGTGGACAAATGCTACTGTTTCACTCGCCGTTCTGTTATTCGGGGAGGAGGAAGATTGCTGGAAGTGTGGGCTTTCAATCGATATGTAACCAGCTGTCTCTGGGAAGCCGCGGAAATTAGTGGGTACTTTCCGATTTTGTACCGGGATACGTATGATGTCGTAGTATGGATAAAATGACGGTGTTGACGTTATGCCAACTTCCACTGTATCGTTGTATCCCTCCGGCACCTGTGTCCAGTCAATGGTGACATCGAGGCGTTGCTCTTCGGCCGTCACGTCAAGTCGGCCCGAACTTGGTGCAATTGACAGCCAATCCACTGGAATATCGCCAAGCTGCCAGTCGATTGGGACGCGGTAGTCACCTCGCATGAATAGATCTATAGTCCGCCTGGAAGGTCCATAAGGACTCATTTCTGGGACCTGGGCTGGAGATTTGGTGAAGGGCATCGAAGGATCGATGGACTCAGCCCATCGACCCTGGTCGAGAGGGCTGTTAGAACCCTCAGCGTAGATGCCGAGATTACCGACAGAGAACTGCATGTTTTGGCGCAACTGAACAAAGGAAAGGTTTGAGAGTATGTCGCGAGATGGGTTCATCCAGTTCTTTGCCTTTCCGGTATCGAACGTTTCGAGCTTGGCCTGAGACATGATGTTTCGCCATTTGCCGTCAAGGAGGGCGTCAAAATCCTCTACCAGATCATAGTCATAGTCAAAGTCAGCAAGAACCTGGTGGGCAAGTGCATTTGCTGAGTTCCTCCGTTCCATGGCATGTCGATAGTTGAGTCCTGTGCTGTGAAGACGAAGAAGTACGAAGTCAGTGTATGTCTCCTATGCATATGGTATAGCCAAAACTTACCCGATGTTTACTGCGTAGTATGTAGCGCCCGATACTACGGGATAGAATACTAACTCATAGTATGCGGCTTTGTAATCCTCCGGTATCTGTTCAAACAATGTCTTGGTTTGATTGGCGAGCAGGTTCCATCTTGCTAATATCCTTTCCGCTTCATGGTAGTTTAATACCGAGTATGTGTCTGGCTGAACCATCTCAAAGCGGCGCATCCCGATGAGGTAGTTGAATTCCATCAGTAGAGCCGCAACATCATCCGCATGTTCGCTACCGAATTCCCGCTCGGAGTAGAGGCGCAGATATTCTGGTATCATATCAAAGTCAAATTTCGAGACGTTCCAAGCCAAGTCCATGGCGAACCCAAAGGGTTGCTCTAAAGGCTTGATATCGCCAATATTGAGAACCCAGACGCGGTTCGCATCTCGCCAGTAAGCTTGCAAAAGTTCTTTCAAAACTTTCGGCTACGCTTGTAAGTCATAGATCTCCTTCAAAAGATGCACTTACTAACCAAGCTGTTGGTGTTCGACCACTTGTACGACCGCGGTCTACCGAAGTACTCAAAGTGGAAGTAAATACCAGCGCCGCCTTCTCTGGCAGTCTCATTACCAGTGGGTAGCCGCAGAATCTGGCCATGGTTGTCATCGGGCATGATGATGGTGACCTGGGTATAGGGGTACGAAGTCAGCATAAATCTTAGGTGCATTCTGTATCGAGAAGTTACTTGCGTCATCGGGCGGACTTAGTCCAGCGGCGTAGTAGGTCGCGACTTCCTTGTAGATTGTCCATGCCTCTACACCGTATTAGCATGTCACACACCTGTTTCCCCAACAACTTTACTTACGGTTTACTTTCTGGTCACCCAGAACTTCTTTGAAAATCTGACGCTCAACTTCAAACACTTCTCGAAGAATCTCCAAAGCATCATCCCCAACAATGGCAGAATCACTTGGACCTCTCATGCCCAGTGTCACATAGCTCTCGTTGTTTCCCATCCTACGGATCCCCTCTTCCATAAAGCGCGTTACGTTTTCCTTGTTCAGTCTCCAATCCCAGGGCCCAGTCTCAGTCGCGTTCCACTCATTAGTCGCTCTTTGCATTGGCTCGTGATGGCTAGTAGAGACTACGATACCGTAGTCATCTGCAAGCTGCTGATTTCCTGGGTCATCGGTGAAGAAGATGTGGCCTGGGGCTGGTGTTGATGATCCCCACATGGCAGGCCACAAGTAGTTGGCTTTTAGTCGAAGAAGTAGATCGAAAACGTGTGAGTAAAACTCCGTGTCTAGAGGATGGTAGGAGGAGTTGTGTTGCGCAGCCCACCAAGTGACCAGCGCTGGAGCTTCGTCATTAATGAATAGCCCTCTGTATTTGACTGATGGTGGGCCATGAACAGTGGCTTTTGGCAACGCGAAAATGGCGGCGTGTTTCTTCGTGGGAACATCCGCCCACCAGTGGTATCTGATGCAGCTCGTTAATTGACGTCTAGATACACAAGACGTGCACACCTACGGAGACTGACCACTCTGTTCGGCGAGCGTGTGTATACCAAAGATAGTACCGCGTTTATCACTACCTACGATGACCAACGCTCGTTCAACTCCAGCTATTGGGTTGGCGATGACAGCAGTTTTAAACACTTCCCATCTCCCCTCAACGTCTGAGATGTCGAGACCTTTCTCGGCAGAAATTTGGCGAATGAGCTTCGACCCCACAGAGCCGACAATGACTCCAGTTGCTGAAGCTGGTACTGTGGAGTTGGTGGTGGCATTATTGAGTGCGGGTCGGGTTCCAGTAATCTGTTCGAAGTCTTCCACTAAGCTTTTGAGCGCAATGTGAATACCTAAAAAGTCATCCGCATCGGCTATGAGTGTGGCACCAGCAATGTCCAAGGTTTGATCTTCAGGCTCGAAGCCCACGAACTTTTCCTCAAGCAGTGCATGCACTGTGAGTTTCGAAAAGGCACAAACGGCCACGAAGAGATTTAGCATCTGCATTGCTGGAAGACAGAAACTAGGGGCAAGTACCTAGCTGGGCTACAAAGGGGTCTGATCTGAAGATTATAACGTTACCATCGGTGTAATGAAGACTGGGCGGGGAAGTACCCAAGATTGGAAATGCTCCCTGCGGAGAAAGCCTACAACCGCATACGGATTTCCAGCTTTGCCATACGAGCGTCGCCAACTCTTGGCCCTGTGGCGGATGGACCTGCTCATCTTTGAACTGCATGCTAAGGAAGCCGTAGTGATCATCTGAGGTCGCTAAGCCCAGAGTGGAACTCAGCATGTCGGTCGAAGCTACGCGCTCGGGTTAAAGTCATCCGCATTCAACACGTACTGCAACGAGCGGAGATCATGGAGGCTGCATCTGAGCAAGACATTGTCCCGACGTGGGTCGCGAACATGTGGACGTACGACACCGCGTGTCTAGCGTGTCTTCCCCGCATCATGCTCGATGGAAGCTACGGAGCGAGCCCGGTGCTGACAGTATTCTGAGTGAGCTTCGTTTGTACCAAATTGACACTTATCCTGGTTAATTGTAGTTTGAGGACATTTCTCCATCACAGTTCTAGAGCTGTTCGTTACAGCTGGGTCGAAATCGCGCTTGTGGGTGGTGACGTCACGCGTCTTAGCGCTGATTGTATTCCAGACGCGCTGTTTCACGGGCAACTCTTGCTTCAACAACGGTGCCTACATAGTATCACCGAGTATGTCGCCGTAATTTTTTTATTTTGTCTAGCTTTGTCTCTTGTTCGGCCTCCATGTATGAGGTTCTCACCACCATCAAATGTACCTTAGCACAAACACTGCTTATATACAATTCACATCACGGTACTCTCGCAAGTCCTATCTAGAAGCAATCCTTCATGTACGTTGCGTAATTTACAGCAGCAGTTAACAAAGTGTCCATGTATACAAACAGCTCCCTATCTATGGTACTTCGTACCGTTACCCGACCTAGGCCTAGAGAAGCAGCTCGGTCCGCTGCACTTCAAGTCGAAGAAATCCATCACAGTGTCGCTATCTGTCGGGATGTCGTGTGTAACACTACCAGCTTCATATGCCTCGAATTTGTCGCCATACCGAAACCTTGTCCAGCCTTGGAAAGGAACGTTTTCTGTAATTTCGGTCGGTTTCTGGCTCACATCGAAAACACTCGTCCATTGCTTGATCTGCTCGCGGAAGTTTTGTGGATAAAGCGTCGTGTCTGCTGTGCCATGAAGAGTCTGGAACTTAGGACGGAAGCCGCGATATGAAGGGTATGCGTTGCGCACGAGAGCTGCCCATTGGGGCCCAGTCTTAATGATCTGGCCGGTGGCACACGCGTCACTCCAGACATCGAAGCCGTCGCCGGCAAAGCATCCGAATGGTACACCCGCCCATGCGCTTCCTGCAGCAAAGACATCTGGGTAGCTTCCGATGAGCACATTTGTCATCATTGCGCCTGAACTGCAGATGTGAAGATGCGAAGTCAGTGTATGTCTCACATACATGTTGTACGGGTCCAACAAACCTCGTGCCGGTAACAAAAACGCGGTCTTTGTCTGCATGATACTTTTCCAAGGTCCACCGCACCATGGATACAATGCCGAGCGCGTCGCCTCCGCCATTGTGAGTGAGCGATTGCTGGCTACTGACATCCCAGCATTGGTCCGTGTTCAATGTTGAAGCGTTAGGATAGATCGAGATGAAGCCGTACTCGTCGCCGAGAGAAGCCCAAGGTCTATAGTCAAAGACCTTAGAGGTAAGATTTCAAGTCAGTGTATGTCGAAGACGCGTTTTGAACGATCGCAACGTACCTGCTGTGCCGTGCCGTGACACCAATGTGGGGATACCTATTGGATTTAGCCTTTAGACGCTGAAATAAATAAAAATGTGGTGATACCAAAATTGGTGGATTGGGCGGAAGATTTGCCGGCACGTAGAGGAACATCGAAACGTTTCGCGGATTCGGGCCGAAGTCACTGATTTATTAGTATTGAAAACATCCTATTCCTGATGACATCTTACATGATTTCCGTGAGCTTTGAGGTGAGCTGCGCAGATGCGACCGCTGCGCAAAGCACCTGCAGGATGGCAATTGAGGCGAACATCATGTCGATTGAGATGAATCTTGATCGTCTTGGACTTCACTTTACAGTACCATGGCGGCTTCTTATAGTCTTACTCGAGCAAGGTTCTACGAGAGCACCTAGCACAGCGATCTACCCTGTAGTTAGCCCAGTTTCCAGATGGTGGTAGACTAGGTTGCATGTCACGCTTGCGCGTACATCCGAGTATGCTCAACGCATCAGTCGTCCGGCTATACCTATTTTGACACGGAGGGGAGCACACATTAATATCTTGCAATGTTTCTCCGCAGTTATTCGCCGCTAGCCCCGCTCGCCTAAGTCGAGCACTCGAGTAAGTACCGAAACAAGCATGAATCTGAAGGTGACAATTCTGCAGGTTGTGGCGTTAGATGGTTTAGCTCGCGCAAAAAGCATTGCCAACAGTATATCAACGATCGTACGCACGGCCCGAATCTATACCAGGTTCACGATCTATCGCGACTATCGTGCGTGTCAATGTTGTGTAGACATTGTGCAGAAATATCGTGAAAGAGGTACAGGCTCCGAAAACTTTTGGGAAATCAGACCATGTTGTTGCTATACAATGAACTTGAAAGAGTAGGGCCCCAAAACGCATCGTCTCGATTGAAATATATTTGGAGAAATGTTCCTTAACCTGAGGAGAATTATACACATGATCCCACAAGACTTCTCACGCTCATTCTGTAAGACCAAGTAAGAATGCCTCCACTAACACAGCACGATGTCTTCCAGACGATCCAGGACAAAGCCAAGCGTAAGAAAGACGAAGGTACAATACTGACCAAGGCCGACATCACTGAACATCTGAAGGAGTTGTACAATTCGTACCTGAGAGGTCGATTATACTTTTATGCTCAAGACCAAGATGGTCTACCAATTTGCAGAGTACCTACATACCTAGCTGGTAACAAGACCTACTGCTCCGTTGCTCGGGAAAACGTTTTTGGTGTCGAAGACTGGCAAAGCCAACCTGGGCCGACAGACTTCATAGGCAATGTCTGGCCGCCAAAGGTGATTGAAGATCTCATTGGGAATGTCGACGAGACTGAGTACGCAGTTATGAAATGTTACGTATGTAAAGAAGTAGGAAAAGTCTTCTGCACATGTGGATACAAGTCTTGGAGAGATTACTGGCCTGACTACTGGCTCACCTGTCTATTGTTGCGGAGAGCCGGTGCCCGCGGTTACGGCATTTTTGCACGCGAAGCGATTCAAGGCTCAACCATCGTAGGAGAGTACACAGGCCGTATCAAACCAGTCAAACCCAACGAGGAAGATGGAGAGGACGCTTACTGTGTACCGATCTCGATTGGACGACGTAAGATTAAACAAAAATCACAACCCACGGCTATACTTAGTGCTCTTCATACCGGGTCAATATCAAGATTTATCAATCACTCGTGTAACTCAAATGCGCGATTGCAGGAGTTTCAATGCGGTTTGGAACGCCGCGTCATCTACGTGGTGACAACACGCGACATTAACATCGACGAAGAGCTAACGATAGACTATGGTCCAGAGTGGCTTGTTGGCGACTGCCTTTGTGGCAGTATTGGCTGCAAAAATCCACCAAAGAGTCCTAAGCTACTCGATACGCCCGTAAATGATCTTAGTGAAGATCAGGCCACGGATGAGGATGAGGAAGACTCCTATTCGGATGCCTGGGATACGGGCTACAGGTCTTCTGACCTTGAATACGAAGAAGATTCTGAGTACGAAGAGAATTCGGATTGCGAGAAGCATCGAAAGAGAAAGGGAAAAACTCACTAAGATTGGTTCGATGACTGATATAATCGACTTCTCCATATTGGCACTGATCTGTAAGAAGATCATCTGATACTTTTAATCATACTACCACCCTGCCATTCCTCCGTTGACCATGAGTGTATCAAGAACTTCCCCTCCAATCAAAGCCTCAGCTCCAACCAGACCAGTTGGAACATCTTGCAAGACAGTGAGACCATGGCAAAGCGTATAGTCGTCTAACACTGTTGTTGCCTTCCCAACAGCTATACTGGTCTCATGCATCTTCGGTGCTAGCGTATCGTGTTGCACAAACGGTGCTGCGAGACGCACTGCTAGGTCACTGCAAGACTTCGACTCGGTTATGGCAATCGTGACATTGATCGACGAACCCTCTAGCGCTGTCAAACTGGGTACGAAAAAGGCTTGACTAGTGATCGGGAAAGTCGATTCTGATATGCCCGGTCCGTACACCAAGAACGATGTTGCATCACGAATGGTAGGTCCAGATAGCGAGAACGGAAAGTACGACGTGGTTCCGTATATACTGTTGCTTCGACCGAACACGGAGCTTCCAGTCTCGGCTTCTGGCTCAATCTCTGTCTCGTGTTGGTTGATGCGGATATTCAACGATGATGGCGGAGAAGCACCCGCTGGTGTGAGGATTCTGATCTTTCCGCTGAGCATCAATTTTCCGTCTTCTTTGAAGTCGTATGTCACATTGATTGGCTTGACAAGGATTGCCGTAACTGGCTCACCTAGCTGGACACCAGCAGGTACTGTATTGATGGCTCGACTCATAAGCTCGACACACGTATCCAGAAAACCCGTGCCTTGGGCGAACAGCGCATGCATAGTGGCGTTCTTGTCGCTTTCGTACAACCGCAGATCGGAGTTCATAGTGTCGTTGTATGAGGTGACCAATGGTCCTCCTTTATTCCCTGTTCCATTTAGATATTCGCCGAGGACATTGGGATCAAACACGCCACGTGTAGTGTCGAAATTGCTACCGCCATTCGTGTTCTCGGGTGTAACGAAACTCTCATCTACGACTTCAGGGAAACCACCCTACAGGGGTCAGCAATTGAAAGCTAGTCCAAGCGCTTTGTGTATACGTACATGGTGAACAGATCCTAAAGTGTGCCCACAAGCTGTAAGACCGATAGCATCTACCTTGTCGAATCCAGCGCGCTCGAAGAACAGCAAAGTTTCTTCGAGATCAGTCTCTGGTGCGGGTACTCCAGTAGTAAGTCCAGCCTCTGTCGCATCGGTGCGTCCAGCGCGGTAAGGCATCTGCGCACCTCCACACAAGTTATTAGACATGACGGTGGCGAGCGCGATAAGATCCGCCACTATCAACACATCAGCACTATTAGTTACTCACGATCGGTTCCGAACTTACTAGAAACTCCATCGTGAACGAATGGCCTCCAAAATGCAAAACTGTCGTTGAAAGCACTCCCTTTGTTTTCCACTCTTGCCGTTTCGAACCCGATGCTAGCATCGATACCACCCGTGCCTGCGCTCACATTCGCAGTGACGAAGTCATGAAACATGACGCGCATCCATTGTGCCGACGTCGTGCGACCGCTTGTCAGCGCCATAGTCCCAGTCTGCGAGACATAGCGTGTGCAAGGGGTTATTGCGGAAGAGAAATTCGATGCGTATGCTCCCCAGTTGTCGACGAGGACGTGTTCGATGAAGGAGAGAGCCGGTGTAGGGTGATAAAGAGCAGCGTGCGTAAGTGGAAGCGCGTACAAAAGGGAGAGGATATTAAGTGGGAGCATTATGGCTACTACCGCGAAGTATGTGCTAAAACTAGGAAAGAGACCGACGTTGGATGCGCAGAGGAAGGTTCATGTTATATCCGCTTGTACTCCTGGGTCATATTGGGAATATTTCCTATTCCGTATTTTGTGTTACACTGCAGCTATCGGATGTTCTAGTCTTCAAAGTAGCGTCTAATGTGCGGCCACAACTGGGACCTGATTGGCGGAAACAGCCCATTGGCTGCATCGTGCAAAAACGACCTGATGTGGAAGATTCGTCGTGATTAGATAAGCCACATTGAGCTGACGTTCGCATACCACCTGCCGTTCAGGTAGCTTGAAGCTCAACCTTTGCTAGGCTGCTTATAGCTTGGCGGGGTTGATCGCTACTCACACTCTTCCCACAGCCCACGCGCTACCTAACTTCAACCACCTAGTGACAACAAGCGCCGCGACACCCGCACCCATAACGGCTGCCGCACAGAACCATACTCCTTTGAAGTTGTCTACTGCACCGTTGCCTTCTCCTTTGATAGCGCCAGTAGCGGGATTACCAAACAATCCACCGAAAGCAGCGACGAGGTACGCAAGACCGAGTCGAACGCCAATTTCAGCCTTGTTAGGCGACAGATCAGTAATGGTAGGTCCAGGAATGATGATGACGCCGCCAGAAAGGAAGCCATATACGATACTGATGGCAATGAGACCGTTGATTTCATGGGCGAGAGGAAGCATGCAGAGGGTGATGATGCATGCGATGGCAAGAGGAAGTAGGGTGTTGACACCACCGTACCTGTTGAGACTATTAGCAGACGGCTACTACGAGGATAAGGTGATGGAAACGTACCGGTCAGCAATGAAGTTGGGCACAAAACGTCCAAAGATGTTGGCAGCGTTCATGATCGAAAGCAAGTTGAACGCCATGTCCTTGGACACACCCAATTTGATGGCATACTCCTGGATGAAGAAGAATGGTACAAAGGATGATGCAACAAACAGGGTAAATGCAATGACGAACACCGTGTATGGCACATCTTTGAAGTGATGAAAGCCGAAGCTAGAGCCCTTGGATCCATACTGGAGTTGCAATCGCATCACAAAAAAAGCGACAAGATTCGTGATGAGAATGATGAGCGCGAAGATGCGGACGGCCCATGCAAAACCCACGCTGAGGAAAAGCGAGCGTAAAGAAATTGTAAAGACGATACCAGCCACACTGGCACCAGTCGACGCAAGACCAGTAGCCAGCATACGTTTCTTCTCGAAGAACATGGCTAGCACAGCGACGGGGACTATCGCCATCAGCCCGCTTCCAATGCCCATAAGCACTCCTTGGGCAAAGAAGATGGCCCAGTAGCTCTTGAAGAAGGAAGTCAGGATCAGTCCAAGCACTTCTAGCGCCGTGCCGACTGCGATAACACTTTTGAGGTATCCTCGATCAAGCAGTACACCTCCAGGCAAGCAACCGATGGTGGTGAAGAACAGCTGGATCGATCCGATCCATGCGATGCGCGCCGCATCTTGCCCTGGAAGTAAAGAATCAACGTAATAGGTTTGGAAGACACCAAACGTATTTGGCAAACCCCTTTGTCCTGTTAGCGTCTGTATTACGGCGTGTGGTAGACTTCGAGGGAACTCACCAGCTATTCGCAAACAGAATGAATCCACCCAAAACCTGCATCCACGCTACTTTCCCATGATCGATAGGGTAGTCCTCATTAGCCTGCGCGCTCGCTGTGATTTCGTGAGCGAGTAGCTGTTCCGTTCTCTCCCGCTGCACCTCATGATAAGAAAGCAAAGGCTCTCTTTCGTCGGCCATTTTTTTCAGGATTTCCGCGTGGGGATTTCTGGGGTCTGTGGGTAGCAATACCCGTTTGTTGGGGGCAGCGACTTGTTTTTCTCAGGGACGCTGTTTGATGGGCGCTAGTGGGTAGTTGCCGCGGCCGATCGTCATCTTTAGTCATGAATATGCAGGTACGGGTCCGAGCGGTGAAAGCGTTCGCATATGAGAAGTAAAACCATAGATTTAATCTTTATTCACAAATCCGCCAATTAAGGTACCATCATTAGTGTACTAGGTAAGTCTCCAAGTGCAAGCTATATATACAAGAATTAAGTCATGACATGAATCATGGAATGCTCCCCCACCCTAGTCAGACTACAAGGACGCCCTCGCCTGTCCAACAGACGGCTTCGCCTCAGATTCCTGATGAGCTCCAAGTATGAGGTGATTCAAAGTGTCGACAATGTTGTCAACGGGGGAATCTACCAACCACCCGGCACTCTGCAAACCATGCTCAAACCTTTCCATATCGGCTTGGGTAAGGCTGAGCATAACCTCATACGGCTCTCCTTCTTGCCCTTCTTTGTCTTCTTCCCTGGGCAGAACCACGATGCCACCCTCGCTTACCCAAGCCGCCCTCCGGATTGCAGTTGCGTTAGGCGTACTAGTTCCAGGAATGTACCATTCACGGTCGGCGCCCATCCTCTGCCAGCTAGTGATGTACAGATCCGGACCTTTGGGGAATTTCAGAAGAGATTGCTGGGCTTCGGTGGGGTTAGTAAGAACGCTGTTAATTTGCGTAATCGCCCACGCCGCATCAACAGCATGCAGAGCATCTGTGATCTTGACTGCAAGGTCCTCAAGGCAAAAGCTCTGCTGATCTGCAGGAACAGTCATTGCCGGAAAAAAGTTGTCTGGAGCATGGGGTGCTTCCTCTCGCAGCGAGGTTACGCAGTCAGGTACCCCATTCTCAAGATCGAGGGTAGGTAGGGCAGACAGTACGAGGTTTCCGAGATAATCCGGCGATGAAAAGGGAGGCGGAAGATATTTTCTAAGATCTACAACGACGGCGAGTGTTGACTGCTTGTTGCCTGAAGCAGCTAGCGATGTCGATCGAGCATGTACAATGTTTCCCCAGATAATCGCTGACAGTGCGGTAAAGATAGAGATCTTTCTGCCGGTCTTGGTCGATAGCTGATTGCGGAGCTTTTGGAGAGCTGGCGATGAGAAGCGGAACATGTTCGTGATGACCTTTTGTAGTCCTTCGTCCGGTCCCTTGCGCAGTTCGTAACGCTTGGCAAGTAGCGGGTTCCCTGACTTATCTGCAAAGTTGTCTGCTACACCGGCTTCTTGGACCAGCGTTGCGAGTGCGCTTCGAGCTGATGACGGGTCTGGAATGTCGTTCCACTCATTAATAATCGCCTGCAGTGGTTGGAGCTGATCTTTGTAGCTGGGTGCTCGGTAAAATTTAGGAACCCTAAGCAATGGTTTGCTCGCTTGAGGATGCAAGGCTCGTACTGCGTCACTCCATATTTTCTGGATCCTTGCGTTTCCCGTCCCGTCAAGAACAGCGTGATAGAACCAGGCGCTCAGCACCAAGCCTCCAGGAATGAATGTAGCCTGGGTCGCGAAAACTGGAACTGGACCTTTTTGCAATGAAGTCATCCTCTCGGCGTATGGGTCGTTGCCTAATCCAGCGTGGTATTTCAACTCGTTTGGGCAAAATATGGTAGCGGGCAACTCGCCGGGTGTGAACGCGTCTTCGGCAAGAGCATCGTAGTCGTGTTGTGCGTCATCGTAGCTAACCGTGAAGACGCGACGGGCTTCCGCTTCGAGATCGATGGGGTCGGGGTAGCGTACTCGAAGAAGTTCCGTAGAGGGGTCGGGAATGTCTACCGTGCCGGCAAGATAGGGAAATCGTCGCAAGACTTCCTTGAAGCCCGTGTGTAGCGCTTCTTTGGCTGCGTGCGCGTAAGTGATGTCTGGGAACGGAAAGATGATGTAATAGCGTCCGTATACGCGTATGTGAGGTTGTTGGTCGAGGTGAGATAGCTCTAGCTCTTTCGTGGTGTCGACTGGCATTTTGGAGAAAGAGGCCTAGAGAAGTTTACGAAAGTAGGTGATTTCCGTTTCTGGTCCTTTTCTGTCGCAAAGGCCTTCAAGGTGTGCTGTAAAGGTACGTCGACAGTTGAGTTGTAGTTGGTTGAAGTGCGAGAATCTCCAAGAGGGTTCCAAGAGAATCTTCCAGCTAGTATAAATACTTCGCGGTTCTGTGTAGTTACACCTTGACGAGGTAGCGCAGGTGAATGCATCGCTTTGTGCTGTGCAGTCACACTTTGACGTGATAGTACAGGTGAAGGCATCTTGGTTGATCGTAGTTGCAGACGGGTGCTGCTGTGATTGATATGCAACAAAAGACAAGCAAAAAGCACATTGCTTTAATCTCCGAGCTATGACATGGTTCTGAACATGCGCTGGCGATCCCGTCACACGGAGTGCTTGATGGGGCTGAAGCTATTGGGCACGGGCTGCAAACCGTCTGCGGATTGCGTGGTATGACAATCAGCGGTCTAAGCAGATTAGGTTCATGCCAGACGTCGCTCGAGTCCGATCATGGTCTTCTGGTCAACCTGTCCGCCCAACACGCCAGCCTTCTGCAATATACCAACGGTCTTGTTGACCACCTCCTTGTCTACGCCCTTGACATCTTTGGCAAAGCGAACAGTCTTCAGCCATTCTCTCGCGTCCTCTTCTGAGTAATCGAGCTTGGTGCTGATGTACTGCACAGCCTCTTCCTGATTCTCTTCAAAGTGTCTAACGCCCTTGTTGACCTTGTCCATGACGTCGTCGAGCTCCCCAGTAAGCACTGGTTTGCTTGCGTTGGGCGACGAACTCCAGTTCTTTGGGTTCAATAGATGGTTTGCAGCGACGATCTTCCAGGAAGACCACGGCGTGTAGATCTCACCAATGCGCTTGATCTCGCCGTTATCGTAGTAGCGCTTCGATGTAAAGTGCTCCCACATGAAGAAGTCTGCTGTGCCGTCATTGACTCCATCGCGGAGGTTTGCGAACGTGTTCAATGGCTCGACTGGGAACGGCGGGCTGTCCGACGTCGTGTCCAGCCACCCTTGCTGGTCAGCCAGCACGAAGCTCATGACGTAGCTTCCACTTCCAATTCTTGACACGCCGACCTTCTTGCCCTTCAGGTCCTGGATCCCGTTGAGCTCGTTTCTACGGGCACCTGTCGATATGGCCCAGCACAGTGGAGTCTCAACATAGGTACCCACTATGCTGAAGCCAGCGTCCTCCTTAGCTGCCTGTGCTTTTCCCAGTGCCGCTATCCAGCCTTCGGTAAGACCAACACCAATGTCGATCTCGTTGGACTGCAGAGCGGTGACCATGTGGCCTGTACCGCTGGGGTAAGGGATGAGCTTCGCATCGAGGCCATAGTGTTTCTTCGCGAACTCGAGTGGGGTGGAGAAGTGTTCTGTTACCGTTAGCCGGATGTGTAGAGTGAGTGATGACGCGCTTACCCGGTACGAATCCGATGCGTAACGGCGCCATGGCTGCACTGTGGGTTGAGAAGCTTCGGACTGGTCGCGGTGCTGATGAAAGGCGTGCAAGTCGCAGTGTGCGCAGCATTGCTGAGTATGTTTCACAGTACGAGAAGCGGACACAGTGAGGGGAAACTCCAGTGATGAGGGACGACGGACGCGCTGTAGGGCCGAATCGTCAATATACAGCCGGTGGTATTCGTCTTGCAGCTTGACGCAGCTGCCCTCCGAGGTCGATGATGCGCAACAGCCTCGCCTAGTTCCGATCGGAAGACAATTCCGACAAGCCCCGAATCTCGGGGGCTCTAGCATCATGGCCATCTGAACATCTCAGCGTCATCTCCTATTGCCGTTTCTTCCCTATGGTCTCTTTTGTGTTTTCGCGATACTCTCTATCTAGAACTTGCATTAGATCGGCGCCCAACCCCCTAACATCTATCCTGTCTCGTCTTTTCGCCACTCTAGAACCACGTACAATGTCTTCCGATAGTGACAGAATATCAGTAAGAGCTCGGACGATCGCAATAGTGGGCGCAGGGCCTTCAGGTGTGGTGGCAGCGAAATACCTCCGTGCAGAGAAAGCATTCGACAAGATTGTGTTGTTCGAACAACGAAGTAGACCAGGAGGAATATGGATATATACAGGCGAACAACGAGACGAGAATCTCTTCGACATACCCCAGACTAATCCAAACAAAGATGTACAAAAGCCGGAATGGCAGTCTAAAGAAGCAGTAGCGAATGGGAGTATCGATACCAATGGGATAAACGGCGCATCAAGAATACCTTCATTCTTATCACCAATGTACGAGAAGCTGGAGACGAACATACCTAGGGGATTGATGGGCTTCCAGGATCTGGACTGGCCATCTGATAGCCAATTGTTCCCTACGCACCAGACGGTCCTCAAATACATCGACGACTACTCTGCGGACGTCCAAAATCTTGTTCGATACTGCACACAAGTGACCAGTATCAACCCAGTTGATCCGAATAAGACTAGCAGTTCATGGACCGTCACGACACGGAATCTGATCACGAACCAAGACACTTCCGAAGTATACGATGCAGTGATTGTAGCAAACGGCCATTTCATAGTTCCCTACATCCCTCCCATGGATGGTATCAAGGAATGGGCCGCACAACACCCTGGCCGCATCAGTCATTCGAAATACTACCGCAAACCCGAAGACTTCAATACTAAGAAAGTAATCGTTGTAGGCAACTCGGCATCAGGCGCAGACGTCAGTGCCCAGATTGCCGAGTTCTGCCAAAAGCCGCTGCTATGGTCTACACGCTCACAGTCTATGTTTAGCGCTACGCATGGAACAGCAGGTGAAGATCAAAAGAGACGAGAAGTTCCGCCAATAAAGAAGTTTATTCCCGCTAGTAGAGGTGTTATATTTGAAGATGGGACGGAAGAGCACGACATTGACGCTATCGTTTTTGCTACAGGTTACTTCTACAGTCTGCCTTTTCTACAAGATGTGAAGCCTGAACTCATCACAACCGGCGAGAGAGTAAACAACACCTACCAGCACCTCTTTTACGCGCCACGGCCTACTTTGAGCTTCTTAGCCCTAAACCAACGCGTAATCCCTTTCCCTATAGCAGAAGCGCAATCCGCCGTCCTTGCACGCGTGTATTCCGGTCGGCTTTCCCTACCACCACTATCAGACATGCGCAAGTGGGAAAGAGTCATAGAGGAAGAAATGGGCGCTGGGCGAAACTTCCATCTCTTACCCTTTCCTAAAGATGCGAATTATATCAATGCAATGAGTAGATGGGCATTGAGTGCCGAGAACAAAGAGGGCCTGGAAAATGAAGGCAAAGGAAAGATACCGCCCATTTGGGGCGAATGGCAATACTGGTGCCGTGAAAACTTCCCGAAGATACGACAGGCTTTTGGCAAGATGGGGGAGAAGAGAAGAGAGATTAGAGACGTCAAGGAATTAGGCTTTGACTTTGAAGAATACCAGAAAGAGCAAGCACAAGAGAGTAATGGCGACAAGAACAAGTAGAACGAAGAGCTGAGATAGGAACGACTGATTGAGGAACTCTCCGTCCTGCGCTAGACGCATAGCTTATACAGATTCATACTGTAATGTCTGTGATCTAGCAATCTCTCTTACCACCTTTCGCCACACAATCCCACTTGTCCGTACATTTTGAGCCTCCTGGTTACTCTCATCCTTTCAACAATAATTATTTCCTCTTTTGGTGATTATTCGAAGAACATGCTAGACAACTAGCACATCGAGCAGTGCTGTCATGGTGAATTTGGAGTAACGGATCGACTATCAGGCATCATCTTTCCTCCACCACAAGACTATCTCCTCTCCATCCTCGTCCCAGTCATCTAGTCCAAAGCAGCTCGATTGCTGCACAGTCAGCGGTGGTATACGCCTCAAAAGGCCCCTCCATAGCGCTGTCTCATTTACACCCGCATCCCAACAAACAATCACCCTTCCCACGCTTTCCTCCCCAACTTCTTCATCCCTATCAACAAATTTTCTCACGATGAACTGCCCCAAGTAACGAATCATATGAACAGATGTATGGTGATTGTTCGGCTGTGACTTCTCCGGCATCCGTTGAGGCGCTGGCATCCGCTGTGGTTGCAGAACGATCTTGAGAGTTTCTGTAAGAGGCAGCCTACGCATTCTCAGCACTTCCGCCAAGAACATTCCTAGTGTGATTGGATTGCGGATATTCTGAGGACTAACAGGAAGTGAAAGTGTCATGGTAGTGATAGCCAACAGTCAATCACCTTTTTGCGGAACGTTGAACTCGAAGTCTATTTGTGGAAAGTGGATGCGTAGGTCAGATGTCATCTGTGTCAAGTGCTTTTGGTGGTAGAATGTGACTTCCTCGATACATTCTTTAGCTAGCTGACGATTGACCTTGAGTATGGAGGAGAGGTCCTGTGACGCACGAATGAGGTGCGCGAACATGTTGTTACGGACTTCGCGAGGGAGCTCTAGTAGAAGAACCATGTTCTGATGCCAGTAAATGATAGCGGGTAGTGTGAGACAATACCAGAGGCTTATTCGGAAGTTATATGTAAACACTTCAACAACCCAAACAGTGTTGAAGGTATTGCTGTAAGGGTTCAGAATCCACAAACCGTCCTCCTGGAAACAGCTGGCATAGTCATTCTTATCGGACCAAACATAATGATCGAAACTTGTTGACAGGGAGAAGATCAAAGAGGGAAGCAGGCGGAAGTAGTGACATACGATGTGTACCTCAACGCAGAGAATCCCCCAGATGTGATAACAAACCCGAACGCCGCGGCTATGCATCAAAAATCGCAAACTGATATCCTCATAGCTCTGACACTACCTCCTCCCCTTTCCTTGCCCTGCACCAGCACCACCTCCACCCATGCCCGGCATGCCACCCATACCACCCATCATCTTCATCATGGCACCCATATCAGGCATGCCACCCATTCCGCCTAGGGCTGACATGTCGGGCATGCCGCCACCGCCGCCTCCACCGAGCATCTTCATCATAGCACCAATATCTGGCATACCACCGCCGGCACCGCCGGCGCCTCCTCCCATACTTTGCATGCGCTTCTGCATAGCTGCGAGTTGTTGTTGCTTGTTTCCTCCTCCCATGGCACCTTGTGCTTTCTGCATGTTCGCCATTCCACCCTTCATCTTCTTCGCCATACCGGCCATCATACGGTGTTGGGTAAGCAGTTCCTCGACTTCACGCACGGAGGTACCGGAGCCACGAGCGATGCGTGTCATACGTGTGGGCTGATCAACGAACATCTTTCCATCCGACTCTAGCTCTTTCTCAGTCATACTGTCGCAGATGTAAATCATGCGCTTGAGCTTGGTACCACCCTCCTCATCGTCCATACCACCCATCATGCTGCTGAGACCGGGAATCATGCCTGCCATCTTAGACAATGGTCCCATCTTCATGATGTTGGAGAGCTGATCCCGCAGGTCCTTGATAGTGAAGATTCCTTGAGTGATATGCTTCATGGTGTCTTTTTGGTCGAGTTTGAGCGATTGCACGTGTTCGACAAGCCCTTGCACGTCTCCCATGCCAAGCAGTTTCGAGACGAAAGCCTGTGGCGCGAAGCGCTCGAGATCCAGCATGTGCTCTCCGTTTCCGAGGAAGACAATGGGCGTGTGCGTTGCTGCGACAGCGGAAATGGCACCACCTCCTGCTGCTGCACCGTCTGTCTTGGTAATGACGATAGCTCCGAAGTCTGCAGCCTCCTTGAAAGCGCGCGCTTGCGACTCAGCAGCCTGACCGATTGTTCCATCCAGCACCATGATTGTCTGATCGGGAGTCACGGCATTCTGAATCTGCACCATCTCGTCGAAGAGGTCTGTCTCTTGTCGGTGACGTCCGGAGGTATCCACGATGATGATCTCGAAGCGCTCCTTCTTGAACTTCTCCACACCCTCGGCTGCCACGACGACAGGATCGGTCTGTGTATGGCTACCGTAGTATGGGATCTTCGCCTTGGTCGCGTTCTGCTTCAGTTGATCGAAGGCACCAGCACGGAAGGTATCGGCGCACACCAGACAGGCCTTGAAGCCTCTTGCCTGGTACCATCTCGCCAGCTTTGTACACGTTGTCGTCTTACCCGCACCCTGCAGACCAACAAACATGATGACGTTCGATTTGCCCTTGCGGGGCTTGAAGGGTTCGGCGTGGGGGTCGACCATCTTGACGAGTTCATCGAAGACGGCTTTCTGGATGAGGCGCTTCTTGTTCACACCTGGCGCGAGATGCTTGAAGTCAACGGCTTTCTTGATCGATTGTCGCAGGTTCATGACGAGTTTGACGTTGACATCGGCTTCGACGAGGGCGTTGGAGATCTCCTTGACCATGGCTTCGAAGGCCTGCGCATGTTAGCCACCTAGCATTATGTCGCGCTCTCCTGTGGCGGCACGCACCTTCTCATCGAGGTTTGGCGACCTCGTGAGGTCAGTGACGGCGGCATTGATGCGCCGCCCGAGATCTTGAAGCACCATAGCGGCGGTTGTTAAGGGGGTATTGGGGGTTGGGTGAGGTTGTAGGGTGTTTGGTGCTGGTGATCTCTCGTGGTGTTCTGTGGGGAATCCAGTATGGCGGGGCGCGCTTGCCGTCGTCCACGGTCGGTGATTTGGGTTGCTAACGCCGACGCCTCTGGAACTTTTTTCTGCGACCGCGCTCTACTTGCGACATTCACAAATCTCGACATTCACAGCCACAATGGTCAACACATCGCTGAAACGGAGACGGACCGAGGAGCAGTTGCGCGGAAAGGTGCCCAAGAAGGAGAAGAGAAAGGTCAAGAAGCAGAAGAACTACCACAGTTCGAGTGACGAAGAAGAGGGCGCCGCGCGCGATGCACCTCGGCGCGGAAGCAGTCTAGAGCCAGAAGAGCCATTCCAGCCTTCGGGTGTCAATGCGACGTTGCCCGGAAAGCAAGAGCTGTCAAAGCAACAGCTGAGGAAACAAGCAAAGTTTGAGGCCAAGAAAGCAGCACAACAAGCGGCGGCAGCAGAGGAGTCTTCAGCCAGCGACGACGAAGAAGAAGAGAAAGTTCAAGCAGCGCCACTGAAGAAGCCTGAGCCCAAGTTCAAGGCTAGCATACCAGCAAAGGCGCCAGCAAAGTCTGCCCTGAAGAAGACTGCGCCCGTCGACCACGAAGCGCCATTACCAAGCGACGCCGAGGATGATCAAGACGACTCTGAACCTGAAGCGGATGAGTTCTCAATCGCCGACTCTGAGTCGGATGCTTCCGACGCCTCATCTGTATCAGAGACCTCAACCACTGCCGCGCGCAAAGTACGAAAGCGAAACGACCCCGAGGCCTTTGCCAACTCGATTTCCAAGATTTTGGGTTCAAAACTGACAAGCTCAAAACGTTCCGAGCCTATCCTGTCCCGCAGCAAAGATGTCGCAACCGCCAACCGTGAGCTCGCCGACTCCAAACTCTCGGAGAAAGCGCGCCGACAAATTGTTGCTGAGCGCAAGGCTGCACAGGAGAAAGGTCGGGTGAAGGATGTCTTGGGCCTCAACGACCCAAATGTCAGCACGGCTGCCACATCAGCAAAGGAGAAGGAGCTCAGGCGGACGGCACAGAAGGGTGTCATCAAGCTGTTCAACGCTGTAAGGGCGGCGCAAGTCAAGGGTGAACAGGCGGAGAGAGAGAGCAAAGCGGGTATGGTAGTTGGCATGGACAAGAGGGAGGAGAAGGTTAAGGAAATGAGCAAGCAGGGTTTCCTAGATATGATTACTGGAGGGCAGAAAAAGGAGGGCAGCGTGGAGGCTTGAAGACACTTCAGTATGCATAGTTCGGCGTTTGGGGACAAAAGAGACATAGTTTCAGTGTGTTCATGATACCATTTATTATACATAAATTCAGAGTCGTGCTCAACGCCAGTCCATCTGCAAGCGGAGTTCTCGTATAATACATGTCGTCTCAAATGCTGAGTATGCGATGCGATCCCTAGACGCTGCCAATATGACCGTGTGCAGTGTCGTTCCTTGATGTATTCTCACCACTACTACATCCCTCTCTCGATACCACATGTTGATCTTCTTCAGTTGACTCATTTGCTGTCGAAATCGCTAGCCTGCAGGTTCCTCGTCATGCTCGGTAACCGCACGACCAAGCCATCAAGCTCTTTGCTCATCTTGACCTGGCACCCCAGGCGACTGGTCTCAGTAAGACCAAACGCCAGATCCAGCATGTCGTTCTCGTCGTCATCTGGCTCCTCCATCTTGTCGTAGTAAGCTTCGTCTGCTACTATGACATGGCACGTTGAGCAGGCGCAGGATCCGCCACACGCGCCTTCCATCTCTATGTCGTTGGCTTGGGCGATGTCGAGAAGGTTGTCGCCGTCGGCTACCTCGAATGTCGTGGCGTGGCCATCTTTGTCTATAAAGGTTACCTTGCGTCTGAAAGGCGTCAGTCATCTTGTGTTGCTATGATTGGGTGCATTAGACGCACTCTTCACCCGGTCGGGGTGGGTCTAGGTGACCGTGGCGGGATGTGGGAGACGAGGAGAATTGGCGGCGGTTCCTGAGCCATGACGGGCTTGTTGCTTTGATGACACTCGATTGTGATAGAAGGGACGATGCCATCATTGGTGTGTGTAGAGACTTCTGACATGCCGATGCCGTCCAATTGCTGGCGAACCTCTGAGGACTCGACGATGCACCTCTTGCGCCCGCTATCCTCCCCTCCAAAGCGCTCAAACAAGCTCTTCTAACAGCCATGGCGGGAGTGAAAGCCTGCGAATTGTCTGAAATTGAAAAGGGAAAGGAGAAGGGTGTGCAGAAGCGAAAGACTCGCAGTGTTTGCAGTGTTACCAAGAGTCAACGCGCGATAATTCCGAATGCTGTGAGACGTCAGAAATGTTGATGCACAGACCAGGCATGACCCCGGTCGATCTTCACAGCGCATCCACCACCGCGGGTAAGAAAACGATAAACATCCCCAGCCTCACGTAATCTTTCCCCGAGAAACGAGAGATACAATGGCGACCTCTCGTGATGCTCCGAACCCCCTAAGGCCCTACTATATCCCGCCATCTATTGGGCCCCCTCCCGATGTTCCGCAGAACCAGACAAGCTCGTCATTACCGCCCGCTTTGAAGCCCAGTGCCAGTAGTAAATCAAGTCTCGGCAGTCAGGCACGCGACATTCTGTCCGATCTCGACTATGACTCGTACTTTCCAGAGACGTCGCCTTCAGTAGCTGGGCATGCAAAGAAGCTGCTCGACCATGCCTTGTGGAATTACACAAGCGTCCTGTTAGCCCAACCATTCGAGGTTGCGAAGACGATATTGCAGATACACGAGGCAAAGGGACAACTAGCAGGCTTGGAGGGAGATGTGCTCGGCCACAAGAGCAGGCCTCAGAGCTTCGCGAGCGGAAAGTTTGAGGATGTATGTATCAGACACTGGGCGGGGTCTGACACGTGAATGTGGGCTAATGGACGCAGTATCCGCCCTCAGACGAGGAGTCGGACGAGGACTCGCCGTCATACTTCACATCTACTGCACCGCGTATGAACCCCACCTCACCCTCGCCATACTCCCCTTCCGTCGAACAATCGAGGTCCCCACGGAGGCGCCAGAGACGTCTCGATAGCCGGTCACGGTCACGAACACCCACACGACCCCCACCATCCGCCATACGCAAACTAGACCTCAAACGACCAGACTCGCTTCTTGAAGTGATAGCACAGCTATGGCAGAAGGAGTCGGCGTGGGGGGTGTGGAAGGCTACAAACTGCACTTTCATCTACAATTTCCTGCTTAAGACGACTGAGGGATGGTTCAGGAGTCTGATCTCGGCCCTGCTGAACATACCAGACCCAGGCCTGGTAGGATCAGCAGGAAGCGGCATAGGAGGTTTGGATATACTGGATAGCCCAAGCCCACTGACCTCACTCGGTGTTGCTGTCGCAGCTACGGCCATCGCGGCCACCCTCCTCGCACCCCTCGATATGGTGCGCACCCGCCTCATCATCACACCCATCTCCTCTTCCCCACGATCTATATACCCTTGCCTCTCTCTTCTTCCCTCCTTCTCTGTCTCACCCAGCCTCCTTCCGGCTACCATAATGCACGCATGTGTGCCCACACTTATCTCCTCCTCAACACCTCTCTTCCTCCGCTCGACACTGAGCATCGACCCGATCCTCACGCCTACCACCTACTCCTTCAGCACATTTCTCTCCTCCACAACTGAGCTATTCGTCCGCCTGCCTCTTGAAACCGTTCTCCGGCGCGGCCAGGTCGCTGCCCTGCAGGACCACGAAACCCAGCGTCTAGCTTCTGAGTACCAGATACCTCCTAGCCGGGCTAAAAGCCCGGCCTATGGTCTGGATAAGCCGAGCTCCGATCAGAGCTTCAAGACGATCGTGGACCCAGGTCAATATAGGGGTGTTCTGGGTACTATGTGGTTCATCGCTCGCGAGGAAGGCATCTCAGTTCAGACCGCAAATGCTGCCAAGGCCGCGAGTGCAAAGGCAATGGGCTTCTCAAGGCCGCCGCGCACAAGGAAGGGTCAGGGCGTGCATGGTCTATGGAGAGGATGGAGAGTGGGTGTTTGGGGTTTGGTGGGCATCTGGGGCGCTGCCGCCCTTGGAGGTGGCGGCGGTGAATTCTAGGTCGAGACTAGAAGGAGGCATAAGGCATGACAGCGTCGTTGTTGCTCATTAGATCATGTTGTTTTGTCACGATTTTCATATGCGTATGTTAGGCGATGCTATATACACCACCACTCTTAGCTGTCATTGAGAAGTATACGTTTCGTATTCGTTTGGTTTCTCTATTCTTCTGGGTTGTCCGATCTTGACACCTGCTCAATAAAGTACCTTGTTGTAGCATGCCTTCGGATCACACGGCAGTTGATATTACTCACACAGCAACACACCCTTCCTAGAGCATATTGACGACTCTTAGCATTTGACAAGTACCCGTCAACAGATGTGATGCCTATGTCCCCATTTCAACTTGGATCTGGCTTCACGGGGGGAAGTGTGTATAAGTTTGTCTTGCCCCCCAATGCTGTTGGTGTTGTATAGACTAGCCTGATACAGCCTAGTGGTATCCTTACATAGAAGCCACGAACTACATGGACCGCAACTCTTCACCAACCACCAGCTTGCCTTCACAAGAATCGTTGTCAATTTACTAGATGCAGATCCGTTATTCGTTCTAATCTCAAGTGATTGTGCGACTGTACCAACGCCTTCCCCTTTCCCAGTCGGCCTGAGGTACAGTGGATCGACTCCATCTAACAGCCCGATATGAATGAGACGCCTGATGTGGCACAGCGTATGGCTCGCCGGCACAGTTCTCTTTAGGTTTCCATGAATCAAACGCTCAAGCTAAATGAAAGCGGGAGCTCGCATTCGGCACTTGGTTCCGAAAAACTTATACGCTGAGACAGCATACCACACTACAGGTAGTTCCCCTTATCATCGGCATGCATGAACTTCGTTACATGTCACCACTAGCGTCGAATCTACCCGCTGTCTCCACCCCGGTCTGTCTGGTTGCTAGTCAAGGCTTGCTTGATCCGACTTTGCCAGCCAGCGTCTGCACCCAACATGCAGTGGATTCCTAATTACAAAGGATCACTTACTGCGGCTGACGATCAATCTTTCGGCGTCTACTTTATAGGTATACTGAGAGATGACTTGCAGCATGATAAAGCTGTTACATGTTTGCCAGTATATCTAGCATCCACTCTCTGAACAGCCGGCCATGGCAAGGCTTGCGCGCAGACTACAATGCCACAGCGAGCTCCACTGGCGGGTCCGACACACTGGCAACGACGGCGGTCGCGCAAACTTTCGTACGGAATGCTAGTCTCGGGTTCAGTGGACCTGATGTTGTCAGACAGCGGCCCGTCCGTTATAACCACCGGTTCTCTATACACAGTCCGTGCACCCCGAACGTCGAATCACAACCATGGAAATTCACATTCTAGCACATATTAGGGAAGACAAGGCGTCAAAAGTTTCTAAACGAAACAGCGCTACGTCCGTCAAGCCCATAACAAGGACACCAGCGTTTCGCCACTTCGTGAACTGGAACGGAATGTTAGTAGACGACCTTGGCAGGACCCGAAGAAATCACTACCGCATTGACTTTGATTTACCAAACAAGCAGTTCCCTTGCCTCCTGAGATGATTCGAACGTTTTCACAAGTGCTGCTATGCTCAGAACGGTCTAAGGGATAAGGCCATGCCCACTTCCCAAGGGATCCAGAACGCCTACAATCACGGAAGGAAGACTGGTGTTGTCGACAGAACCTGCATTGCTATCTCCTGTGTTACCTTCTATGGGAAATTAATGTCCGATCGTACCAGGTCGCCGGTACCTAGGCGCTGGTAGCATGAAGTTGTTTCGAATCGTGGGCTCACAATTCTGATATAAGAATCAAGACGACGTCCAACATTTACAACTCACCAGCAAGCAATACATTCGTTTCAGTCGCTTTCTACATTCGCTTCTTCAGCCTTTACATTCGTTCATCAACACTCTTTTTTATCAAATATACAAGTTTCATTACTGCTAGCCAGAATGAAGTTCAACGCCCTCGTCCTCAGCGCCGTCGCCCAAGTGGCTTCCGCCCATTACTTTTTCGACACCAACATTGTTGGCGGTGTTGCGCAGCCCCAGTTCAAATACGTCCGCGAGTCGAGCCGTGTCACCAAGTACAACCCCATCAAGTTCTCCTCCAACCCAGCTGCCGATATCCGTGATGGATCCACCGCCGATGGCCCCGATATTGTTTGCAACCAGGGTGCCCAAAAGGCCGGCAAGACTCAGGTCATGACCGTCAACGCTGGCGAGGAGATCCGCCTCAAGTTGGCTGTTGGAGCCAAGTTCCAGCACCCTGGCCCTGCCCTGGTCTACATGTCCAAGGCTCCCAGCACTGTGACTTCATACGATGGATCTGGTGACTGGTTCAAGATCTTCGAGGAGGGTGTCTGCGGCAACGGTGACTTCACCAGCGACGCCTGGTGCACCTACAACCGTGACTGGGTCGCGGCCAAGATCCCCAAGGACACTCCCAACGGCGAGTACCTCGTCCGCGTTGAGCACATTGGTGTTCACCGCTCCCACGTCAACCAGCCTGAGCACTACGTCTCCTGCATGCAGGTCAAGGTTCAGGGTGGCGGTAGCGGTACCCCTGGCCCCATGGTCAAGTTCCCCGGTGCCTACAAGGCCACCGACCCTTACGCCAACTTCAGCATCTACAACGGCAAGAAGGACTTCCCCATGCCCGGCCCCAAGGTCTGGGCTGGCGGTGCTAGCAGCGCCGGTGGTGCCACCACTCCCGCCAAGGAGGAGGCTACCTCTGCCGCCCCTGCTGCCCCTGCTAAGACTACCATGGCCACTGTTGTTGCTCCTGCCCCTGCCGCACCCACCAAGGCTGCTGGCGGTGCTGGCTGTGCTGCCCTCTACGGACAGTGCGGTGGAAAGGGCTTCTCCGGTGCCAAGTGCTGCTCTGCTGGTTCCTGCAAGGCTGCCAACGACTGGTACTCTCAGTGCGTCAACTAAGCCTGTTTGCTAGGACTTGGTCGAAAATCTGTGTATATTTTTCATTCTTTGTGTCTAGAAGCGAGGCGTTGCATCAGCATAGCATTGTTTTCTCAGGCGCTGTTCTCATAGTGGAACACCTTTTACCCTTCTGTTTGCCTGGTGGATGCGGTGCGAGCCTGTATCATAGCAATAAATCGTAACTTATCATCTGTGTTCCAAAACATACAGTATTCATATCGTGATCAACCGATCTCTAACTAAGAGTAGTTACATCAGTCTACCAAAAGCCAGACATACTACATAGAGTGGCTCAACCCTTCCGCGTACTCTTCTACAGTTCTTGGAATACCATGTGCCATCTCGACCCAATCCAATATTTCTTCGCAGATGTCGGCTGGCAGTCGTTGGCTGAAAGCTAGGATGAGGTGGCGTCGATATTCGCGCCGTAAATCTCGCACTACGAGCGATAAAATCTTGTCTAGCACAGACCTGAGTTGATCAAGGACTATAGCACCTGTATGTTTATGTGAAGAGTCAATTGATGACTTATAGACGCGCACATTGGAATTCTTACCTCTTTGCTCACGTTCGATGTAGGACGTCAAGGAGAGAAATGCGTGGGCACAGTCGAGCGGATGTTCGGGGTTCCAATCTTTCTGCTCCTGATCCAGCAAATCGAGAAGCAATGCATCTGTTTCGTGGACACCCTTTCGCCACCATTCCAGTTTTAGCTTTTCGAATCTTAGGAAGTCCAAGCGAAACATCAAAGCGAGCTGGAAGGCTCGGGCTTTACCATGTGGTATCTGGCTCATCCGCTTTAGTTCAAGGCATGTGCGGGAAGTGAAACGAGAGATGGGAATTGTGACATTCGCTGCGAGGCTATAGCCTGTCAATGCTGCGAACCTGTAGTCCTCGTAATCTGAGTATCCAGAATCTGAGTCGCTGACGTCTGAAGTCAGGTCGAAGTTCATGGAACTCCACAGTACCACGAGAAATACTGATGTCAAGATTTGCGAATAGCATCTGAGACTCCAGGTAGAGAGCCCAGCTTTCCAATTGGAGTTGAGTCCATCTCGGCACGAGGGTCTCCTTTTTCAGTGTATTCTCTAGATGATAGCATAAGTAAAGACGCTGAATGATCCCTCAACTGCAATATTTCGAACTTACCCACCCTTGTTAGAGGCGATGCCTCCCAAAATCGTTCTCGTGCAACATCTCGGACTTTACCGGAAGCTCCTCCTTGATTGTGGAGTTCTCTAGAGAGGTTTTCTAGCTTGATGACGTGTTGTTGTATCATATCCTCCATTCGACTTGTATCTAATAACCCAGCATCAACGGCGTATTGCCATCTCGGGTCCTTCAAGCATTTTCGCCATCGAGCAAGGATTCCTGACTTGTCGCTATTGTCTCCAAACTTTTCACACATCCTCACCAGATGCTTCAACGTCCGTCTCTTTCGCTTCTTCCTCATTTTTCCGCTGGACTCACGTCCATCAATCTCGTTTTGCTTCACGTTCGGCGTGCTGGTAACTTCGGTTCCATCGTCCTCTCCATTTTGAGTCGCAACTCGTACAGGCGGCCATGTTTGAACATTACCCATACTTCTAGATAGTATAGCGTTTTCGAGCTCACACCTCGACATTGATTTCGGAGTAGCAACCCCTGTAGGTTTACGTTGCGATACGTGTCGATTGGAAACAGGGACTTTCACGTGAGCTTGAAAACACTTTATTGGAATCGAACCGTATTTATTTTTGACAGAACAGACGCAAGAAATGGCAGACGAGGCCAGCTGTCAGCTGAAGAGACATGTTAAGTACGATTGCCGTGCCGCAGAGATTGGTGCACGCTAGCTACAAATAGTAATCCCTTGGTGAATTCCATGGCGTTTCGCGGAGGGCAAGTATCGATATTGCGAGAATGCCTATATGTGACACTACGCTTCTTTTTGCTTGTATCTTCGTAAAGAACGACACGCTTGGACCGCGGAAGTTATAGTCCGCAAGCTCTGGAAGGTTTGCAGGAGCTGTGCTTCGAGCGCGTGACGTCATCGCGACGCGTCCACGGGTCCGTCTCGGATGAGGCCCTACTACAAATCACTCACCAGGTAGATACAGGAGTTGTGTCACACTCAGACTCGAAACGCATAGATTGCTGGTCTACTCTGCGCGATTGGCACATTCCAATCGAAGGTGCTACTGGAGAGGCATACACACAGTTTTCTCTACAAAGATGCCTAGGTAATGCACAGAACATACTATGCTAAACGTGCGTGTACAAAATCAGATTTTTCTCATGAGCAGTTCGTCAAATGGATAGTTATATAGGTGTCGAACCGTATGAGCATTAATGTAGCTAATATAACAGCATTGTTTGTATGCAAGCGTCCAACTAGCGGCTTGCAACTTGTTACATCGAAGGTGTTTCTCAAGAAGGATGTCGTTTGAATCCAGGGTGCTAGTCGTTTGGTGAGACTGTAGCCGTCTATTGTTGCTTTGCCTTCAGTTCGGAAGCGACTTATCCGACTATAGCGCGGAGGATCGTGTCTTTTGGGGCGCTGATAACCATTTAATTTACTCGGCAATATATCTTGCCGCCTTTAGAACCAGGCTAACGCTACGCGAAGGATGAAACGATGATAAGCAGCCGAGTATGGCAGATCATTCGTGAGGTTGGACGGATATGGAAATGGAGATTTTAACAGCGTAGCATTTGCAGATGGCTGGTACGTTGGGTCCGCAGAAGCGGGGCAACTCTACGCGGTAGCGCTTACTCTTGTCTCATCTTACCATTAGATATATGACGCCTACTTTGCGACGTCTCATGTCATCAATCACAGCTCTATTTCGTGACCCATTACACCCAACATGACAGGCTCAAGCGAAGCAACGGAGTCGCATACCCTCTTCACGATTCCACATGTCGCGGCTGCAATTATCACCTACTGGATCGTGGCGACCACCTACAACTTGATCACATCGCCAACACCGCCATCAAGTATACCATGGATGGGCTACGGGAAGGGCTGGATCGCTGACTTCCGCAATTTCACTGCGTTGACTAAGAGCAAGGAATGGCTGTTGGCCGGTTACGACAAGTATAGTCGCAATGACAAGGTCTTTGTGTTACCACCAACGCTTGGCATGGCAGCTGAGATTGTAATGCCGCGAAGCCAAATGGGCTGGATGTTTGACCAACCGGATACTGTACTGAGTACAAGTGAAGCGCATTACGACTTCCTCCAGGGCGATTACTCATTCGTCAAGCCGATCATACTGAAGGATCCCTACCATGAACATGTAATTCACAAGAACCTTGTACGCAATCTCAATGCGATCCTCCCGGAGCTTGAAGAAGAGGTACCCCACGCTATTTCCGAAGTGTATGGAACGGATACAGATAGTTGGAAAAAGCTGGATGTTATGGATTCTTTCATGAAGATGATTCCAGTCCTGACCAACCGCATGCTTCTTGGCGGTTCCCTCTGTCGCGAGCGCAAATTTCTGGATGCGGTATTGGGTTTTACTGTGGACTGTATACGTACCCAGAGCCTTATGCAACTTTTCCCGAAAGCGCTGCACCCAGTGATCGGGACGTTGTTGAGTCTGACTACAAAGTACCACTACTGGCTGTCATCGAGATTCACACTACCCATGATCAAGCAGCGCATCTCAGATATCGAGAAAAAGGATGCTGGGGACCCCGAGTACAAGAACTGGAAAGAGCCGAATGACTTCATCAATTGGAGCTATCGGACTGCGCAAGCTGAGGGACGACGCGACGAAATGCAGCCAGATCGCATTGCTCAGCGCATCATGCCCATCAATTTTGCCAGTATACATACAACCTCTCTCACGGCTTATGAGACTATGGTCAACATCATGAGTGCCGGACCAGAAGTGGTCAAGCAGTTGCGCGAAGAAGCGCATCGCATTCTTCAAGAAGAGGGAGGTTGGACCAAGCAGGGTCTGAGTCGCATGCATCGTATCGACTCTGCTATCCGCGAGTCACAACGTGTCGCACCTATTGCACTTACGTTCGTTCATCGTAAAGTAGTAGCGAAAGAAGGGGTTACAACACCCGAGGGCGTACATGTCAAGTATGGAACGCTTCTCTCATGTCCATGGACGCCGCTGGCTGGTGATACAGACATACACGAAAAGCCAGAGGAATTTGATGCATTCAGATACTCGAGGCCTAGGGAAGAGTATGAGGCGATGGATGCGGAAGAAAGAAAGAAGATCGATGCGTTGAAACTGAAGCAAACAGGTCTTGTCACCACAGGCGTGCATCACCTTCCTTTCGGTCATGGGCGTCATGCTTGGTGAGTTAATTTACTCTTTTGATCCAGGCCTTTGCTGACAACATCGCAGTCCGGGACGTTTCTTTGTTTCCCACGAACTGAAGATGATTTTCGCCGACTTGCTACTCAACTACGACATCAAGCCGCTTGCGGAGAAGCCCAAAAAGATATGGGTGATTAGATTCCAGGTCCCAATGCCAGCAACAATTGAGGTTCGACGTCGGAAGAGTGTATGGAAACCAGAGACCGCCTCGTGATTCGCGTAACAACAATGTATGATATAATATATACATGGGTACCATGACTGTGCGGGACTATCGCACTAGTGCTAGCTTTCTTCTTATCTTCCTCACTTTGCCAAAGCTGTTCACGCATCGGCCGAAGATAGCCACATACCCAGTTCAACACCCAACTGCCCAGGCTGATCGTACATGATGAGATGTCCGGCTCCGTCAACCTCTACTACCTCCTTCGCACTCAACACCTCACCAAGCCTATGTGCATCTTTTACAGGAATCCAATTGTCCTGCTTGCCCCAAATGACTTTCACGGACATGTTCTCCCCCACCTCTGCGTACCGTCCCTCAACCTCTTCCGTACTCCGATGAGCGGCTTGGCATAGTTGGCGGACGAACCCTCCCTTGCCACCTTCTGCCAGCCATGGTGACTTGAGCATGCTCATTGTCTTCTCATCCAGCATAGTGTACGCAGCGTTCCTGATATATGATTCGAGGATACCTTCAAACGACATATCAGGTAAACTCTCGATGGCCCCCGGGTTCTCTGCGACGCCTTTGAACAAAGGCTGACCAAAGGGACCGATAGCGACAACGTCTATGAGGCAAAGACTCTTATATTGACATCCATGCAGCAAATAGGCACGAAGACTCATCAATCCGCCATGGTCGTGAGCGACAACGTGGGGTTTTGACTTCCATCCTTCTGTGGTCTGCCAATGCTTGAAGATAGCGGCGAAGGCTGAAGTTTGGCGAGCGAGATCACTGTCTAGTCTCTCCACTTCGTTTTTTGGTTTGAAATCGCCATTGGGTAGAAGCTGCTCGATTGGTGAATCTCCGAAACCAGGGTTGTCGAAGAGGTACACCCTGTACTTGTGGGATAGAGCCAGCGCGAAGGGTACCCAAACGCGGGAAGACCAGGGAGTGCCATGTATGAAGATGAGTGGCGGCGAGGTCAGAGAGCCGAGCGATGTCCATCTGACATTAAAGGAATGCGTCGGGGATTTGAAGTCGAACGTTTTGCTCAGGGTAGTTGGGTCGCTGGTTGGTGGAGACATGCTTGTAGTAGACGCACACGTTGTTGCGGAAGACTTGCGAGAATTATTGCCCGGTATCATGCACTTTGCTGGTTGTTTCGCTATCTTGTTTCTGGGTGCGACTCAGCTTATATGCTTCTGATGTACCTCATGAGGCTGTCGCTAGGTATTGTTGTTCTGCCCCATCTATGATGCGTAATAGCCTGTGTATCTTCGCAGGATTCCAGCACCTATCAGTGGGCACTTATCATACGTCGCTTCCACAGCAACAGCATTGCTATCGGTCAGCAAGAGACGCGGATCGACGTATCGTCATGCAAGCATGTCTCCGAAGTGGCCAATCAGAGCATCCGCTCATAGGGAACACGATGACTTGAACCCCTCAACGAGACGTGCTCAATCTCTGTGTGTCGCTTACACGCTTAGACGGCGTTGTCGCATCAGGTAGTGCTTTCGGCGGCCGCCCTCTGCGTTTCACAGCCGGTGCGGCGATGCCACCTTCCCGCAGCTTCGTCTTTCCTCGACCAGCCTGGCTTTTAACATCCGGATTTTTTTCCAGATAATCTTCGATTGCCTCAAAAATAATAGGGCAATACCCAGACACGTCCAAGTGACGCCTCGGGATCAGATACTTGACGAGATAAGTATCCGGTACTTGATTGAGTCGCTTCCCTTCATGTTTACCAAATGTGAGCTTGTAGTCAGAAAGTGGCGGCGGTCCCGCCGCATACCACTTTTCCAAGATACCGACGTCCTGATATCTAGTCGGATCGTATCTGGAGAATGTGTCCTCGGCGCCCAGGGCTTTCAGGTTTTTCGCTCTTTCCGCCGTGTTCTTTCGAAAAGATTCCCAGAAACAATCGGGTTTGTTGGGGTCATCACGACAGCAGACGAAGGGCCTGAGGGATGGATCCGTGGACTGTTCTCTCCAAGCATATTCTATCTCTTCCTCATCGGAACTGAAGGCAATCTGTTTATGAGCGCGAACGCTCCGAAAGTCGCGTCGCGACGGTACACTGGGCCCTGGAAATTCGACCGATCTGCGACAAAGAGGAAAAGTGATGCGGAGAGGCGTAGCTACGTGCGCAATAATGCGGTGCTTGCACGCTTGCCTGTACATGATGATTACATGCCACTCGATGCCTCAATGGAATTCGACGATAGGTGAGCGTCAGGCCGCCAGCGGAAAGTCCTCCATAATTTTGCGGGCGGGCACGGGCGGCATGTTTGTTCGCTTCGATAGCCAACTATCTGGTGCAAGCTCCAAGTTTCTCAGCTTGATCGAATAGATGTACATCCGGGCGGGGTTGGTAAGGATCTGGATATGACAAAACTATGAATGCATTATGAATTTATTATACATATTACTGTTTCCAGTATTGCGCACCTAGCTCGTCTCCGAGCTTCACATGATCACCCTCGACAATGATCTTCTTAACCACGACTCCCACAACATCCCATTTACTGTTGGTGTCGATAGGCAGACCTGAGTCCCTGCGTTTACCCGCAGCGTCTTCGTTGCCAACTTCGCGCACGACTTCCCAGTTGTTGTTACCAATGTCGACAAGCCTAGCACGCTTGTAGCTTGCGTTGGAGACCTGACGTTGTGCGACTACAAAGCCAGCCTCGTCTTGCTCCTTGATCCACTTCCTGGCTTCTTCATCTTGCCATACTTTCTGGAGTGCTGCGTCGGCATCCTTGAGCAGCCTCACACTCTGTTCCTCAGCCTCGATGGTGCCAGCCTCGGTGCCCTTGTCAAGTGGTTTCTGGAGCAAATGCGTACCACCGAAGCTCTCGACGAAGTGTCCGTCTTCCGCGTTGAAAAAAATGACATCCTTGTACCTAGGTATCTTAGTATCTTGCATACAAGTACCATGTGTGTATTCTGGCGTACCATCGCGTGCCGATGTCGTCGTAGTCGCGGTCTTCGAGGGCTTTGGACGTGTACTTTGACATCTTGGAGACGAGCTGTCCGCAGGGGACCTTCTCGGCAGGGAGGGGCTGAGGTAGGATTGCGAGCTCAGGAATGATGGAGGGCGACAGTGGGCCGTCGAGGTAGCTGGGTCGACGAGAGTACTTTGCTGCCATGGTGAGGAGCTGTAGCTAGAGCTGTAGTAGTAACGAGAGGGTAAGTAGAGTACAATTGACTTATGACGGTCTTCAAAGCAAGCTATAGAGCTATACTCAGGTGCGGAGATGCTCTCGTGAGGGGTCAGCAAGCTTTATGTGATATCATTGTACCACAGCTCTGGTAGGTAGACAACCCCGCTCGCCATGGCTACAATCTTCTCAGGTCACGCTCATGCTACGGTACCTGTTTTTGGTAACCCAGATATCATACCAAAGATGATGCGACGCGTACCTGCGACAGAATGAGTGGTGTGACGGATCAGGTGGCCATGATGAGGTCGGAGGCATGGCGTGTTGTTGTACCTGACTACTCGCTTCCAAGTGGATCCGGAAGGACGCGGCCGACTCTTCCCGGCTCGTCTTCGTTGCATAGACACGTACTGACCTGTCAAGCAGCCTCGACATCATCACCGTCACCACGACCCGAACTTATGAAGCAAACAATTGATGAGGAGGGTTTGTATTCCTTGAGTAGAGTGTGCATGCCCTCCGGCGCCACTATTTACAACTTCTGGCGACCCCTATGGTAATCAGCCACGCATCATTCCAACCAGACTACAAGACTCACGGCTTCATCGCCATGGCCTTTACGAACATCTCGTTCACTGGCAAACCCTTTGCGCTGAGGCTCTGCTCAAGATTGATATCTGGGTCGGATTTACCCATAGCTCGCCTGTACGCTTCGCGCTCACCAATGCGGCCGAGCCACGCCAAGATTCCAGGATACTCACTCAAATCCATCGGCTCGAAGGTTCGCATCGTTGTGAAGCACCATCCCGTCATGCACTCTGCGGCAGTGAACTCATCGCCTGCAAGCCACTTGTTGTTTTGTAGTCGGTTGTCGATATGGCTCAGCGCCTTGAGGACACGGGCATCGTTTCCCTTGAAACGCAGATCATCTTCGCCGACCATACCACGCGTCATAGCCCTTCTGAACATTCCAGGCTGTAACGTGCCATTCGCGAAATGAAGCCAGTAAAGGTAGTCTGCAAAGTTCTTGTCTTGTGGTGCCAGGGCCAATCGTCCGTTGCCGTACTTATGGATAATGTAATCGCAGATGGCCCCAGATTCGGCGAGTTTGATGGGGTTGGACGGATCAGTCAGATCCTCCAGGACGGGTGAAGCACCGAGAGGGTAAGCAGCCTGGAGCTCGGGTGGTGAGAGAAGAGGTGATCGCTGATATAGCTTCAACTCGTAAGGAATATTGAGCTCCTCGAGAAGCCATGGGATGCGCTCGCCTTGGCCGAACTGTAGATGGTGGACGATAAGCTTTGGGGATGACATCTTCTGAGTTGATAGTGAAATGATAGATCGTATGGGACCTTGAAGAGTCGGATGTCGTGAATTGTTCTTGTATTCCAAATGTACTTGGCTTCTCGGTGTTTCGGTTACTCGGTGATCGACAGATCCGGCAGATAGTGTACGTAGTGTAGGTAAAAAGCTCCGCTGACTATGATTCGGCGACTTGCGGCTCAAGAAGTGGAGGTAGTGGGGTTATGGACTCCATTCTGCTTCGTAAACTTCGATTCTTATGTTCGTCCAGATTCCAGGCACCCACGATCTGTGTCGTCGATGTCTTCGCCCTGTACTCCCAGATTGGCAGACTACTCGAATGCTGACAATTCCAGTCACGTGTCGTTCGGCCGAACCTAGTCAGTACCCAACGCCGATTCGCCAGGTACGACTCGCCAGAGAACTCTGATACGTCAGAGTGGACTTTGCGGACGGATCGCATGATATCCATATATGCCGTGCTTACAGGCTTGTAAAGACTAGACCGCTGCTACCTCCAAGATACCATGCATCTAGTGGTTGCTGATAGTATAGGCATCAACCTTTTGGCTACCATACCGATTCTGTCCCGACACTACTGTGAAACAGGTAAGGATGAGCTGCAGACTACATGTTCAGCTACAAGACCACGTCTTCTGGAACGCGCGCATCCTCCGAAAGTGTCTCCTACTCATCGTATGCCTCCCCAAGCCGCTCTTCCTATTCCTTGTCATCCTTCTTCCGACACTGGCCGAAAACATGCACAATCGCATGCTCCTTCTCATGGGCCACTTCGACATGCCGCCGTTTGCAATTGAATATCTCAAAGACACTCTCATCGCACTCAGTCTCGTCGCGATCAATGCGTGAGTAATTACCTTTGTACCGCAGATTATACTCTACTGCATTGCATAACACCTCGATGGTTGCTTCGACAAGCTCCGCGTCGGACAGCACTTCGATCTTTTTGAATGAAGAGTCATCGTGGTCCATTGCTTCACATCGGTGAAGGAACATGATGAAATACGACTTCCACGTGAGAGAAAGCCACATATCGTCCATGTGTTATAGTTGAATCATAGTGCTAAGAACGAGATAGCTCAGGTAATCATAATGGACTTTAAGACGGAACGGTCAACCCAAAATGTAAGTGAACGCTCTTTCAAAGAAAGTCTTTGCGGAGAAAACAACAAGTGCCATGACAGTCCAGGCTGAAATAGCCACTTCTCCTTAGTTTGCCTCATACACATGGTCCTTTATTTATTGATATATCTTCAAGCAAGAAACGAAAGCCATATTCCTCCGCCGTCCCATTCACCTTTTTTGAGAGCCTCTTACAATACCAACATGCAGCTTCACTGATAAATATCTCTATCTCCAATAGCTCAGTACGCCAACTGGCAGCAAACTTATTCTTGAACTGCTCGAAGGTGAGGTCAGTATTGCAAAACTGCTCTACGTATAGCGCCATGAGCTGTGGCTCGGCGTGCTGGAATATCGTTTCTTTGCCTTCAGTCCCTAGAGTCCGGAATAGTTCGGAAGCCTTTTTGGAATAAACTTGTCCAGATATGAAGCCATCTGGCGTGGCAGGGTGCAGACCATTCTGGGCCAGATACCTCTTTCCACCAATCTCCATAAACGCTACAACGGCTCGGCCCGGACCATACTTGGGCTTTGTACTGAATGTTTGCACCAAGTCAAACTTGGCGTAACCAGGCTCTGAGTCGATCGTGTATCTTCGAAATTGGAGGTCGTGGACAGTTTTCCGTCGGCGTTGACGCTCCATCAGGTCTTCGGCGCTCTTCTTCGCATTTTTCAGGTCTGCCTGGGCGCTACAAAGATGTTCTTTCTGAAGCGCATACTCCAATCTTACAGCTTTCAGTGAAGCTCCTGTTTCATAAAGTTTCGCTTGAATCTTTTCCAATTCAGTTGGGACCGCCTGTATTTGATGAAATGAATCGTCTGTTTGTGTTCCAGTTCGGACATTTTCAGCTGTCAGCGAGCTGACACTCCCATATAAGTCGGCTCTAGCTGCTTTAGTATTCGTGGAAGCAGTGTCGCTACTCGTAGGCTTCCGTGAGTCACATCTCTTTCTAGGCTGGGACTGGGATTTGGGATCCGTGCCGGTATTCGTCCCATCCGATACAGTTACTTTAGCAAGCTTCGCTGTAAGTTCATCCATGACGTCCGTTCCTCCCATACCCGAAATCTGTTTAGGTTCGAATGATTAATCGTCTTCCGTCAGTCCTTCCGTGATATTTAAGTAGGGATATGTAAGTAAACCCCGCTCCTCATCCTTGAGGGTGACTGGCCTTGTCAACGAGTAAGATATGGTCTCTATGCAGATAAGCATTGAAACCTGTCAGTGCAAGACATTCATTGGTATATTGCTGCCCGCAAGTGTGTCGTGTAACGTGGTACTAAACATGGACGCGGTTCACCGGTTCATGCATTCTTTGATTCGATGTGACTGCTCGCCTTCTACTGGCATCGCACATCTTGCATGTACAGCTACAATGTTAACCAATCTCAAACTAAAGAGAACTCGATATGCCATGACGGTGGAATGTTGCGTAAGGTTGACACTTTCGAAGTGGTCGGCCCTGAGAGCAAGTTCATTTAGCGCCCGAGTGGCGATTGAAGCCCCACCAACGCGTCGTTTCAATCGCGCTTCAACCGCTGCAGGGTAACCACCCCTCACATCACGTTTCCAGCACCATGACGCGGGGAAAGCTCATAGTTTTCGAAGGCCTAGATCGGGCAGGCAAATCGACTCAATGCCAAATGTTGGCTGAAGATATGCAGAATGACGGGATCAAGGTGCGGCATATGCGGTTTCCAGGTATGTGCGCGCAGACTGAAGGCCGTCAAAGGCTGTGCGATTGGATATACGGATTGAAGAGCCGAAGGCTGATCACTTGAGCAGACAGAACGACACCAATCGGCCAAATGATCAACAGCTACTTGAGTGGTCAGAGCGAGCAAGACGACCATGTCATACATCTCTTGTTCTCCGCGAATCGGTGGGAAGCAGTGTAAGTCGTCCCATGCTCAACTGCACGCAGACAAGGTTTTCTCAGCGTGCATTGCAGACCTTCTATACAAGCCGACCTCGAAGCTGGTACAACGATCATCGTAGATCGTTACTACTACAGCGGCTGCGTGTACTCTGCTGCCAAAGAGAACCCCAGCATGAGCCTCGAATGGTGTCGAAAACCCGAAGTAGGACTTCCACGGCCTGACTTGTGTCTCTTCCTTGACATATCCGCCGAAGACGCAGCAAAGCGAGGCGGGTATGGCACTGAGAAGTATGAGAAGAAGGAGATGCAGGACCGCGTACGAGGGCTGTTTGAGACAATGATGCAGAAGAAGGAGGGCGAGGACTTTGTGCGCATCGATGCGGGTGAGGGTATGAAGGATGTGGCGGCAAAGATCAGACAAGAAGTCGATAGGTGTATTGAGCGGGTCGCCAAAGGCCAAATGCCGTTGAGGACTGTGGAGGAGTGGTAAATGCTCTCAACTGGTGTTGGAGCCTTGCGGCTTATCCTCATCGTCGTTGACATTCTCGACCCACGTTTCATCAAGGTCCTCGTCAAGGTTGACATCAAGATCATCTATATCAGGAAACTCTTCCGCATCATCCTCGATGGTTCCGTCCGACTTTCTTTTCTTTCTCTTTGTCTTGAACATGACCTTCAGCTCTTCTTCACCATACATGCGCAGACTGAGCTCCTTCATCAAGTCAGACCATCTCAGAGAGCTGCGACAACTCGGACATGTCCCTTGGACTGGGATAAACGCATCGATGTTGCTCTCTTCTGCCAGAAATTTCTGCGACATACATGCCATGTGTGACACAACGTGACATGTCTCCACTGGACAGACCAACACGAGTGATGTGTCAGGACTCACATCTTCCTTGCAAACAGCACACACTCGCTTTTGATCGTCTCCGAGCATCATTTTTGACTTTTCGACATGTGTCTTACAATCCTCGTACGCAACAGGAATTGCTCGTATTATTTCCGGTATGAAGTGAGTTCGCATCTCGCTTTGCACGTCCGGCGCAAGCTTCGGAAGCTCGGCCGGCGTCACCCGGATAGTGATGTCCTTCCGTAGGGTCGTCTTCATCTTGGAAATATGCTTCTCCCATTGCGTAAACACATCCTGGGCAAAGAATCGGATATGCAACGGCCATCGGCTGAAGCTCCCGACACCCAACAGATGATGTAAATTCTTCAATCGCGCTTCTAGGGACATTGGTGGTCTCGGCCTCTTGACGGGCGAAGGATTCTTTCTCCCCTTTTGCAACTCCTCTAGCCTCGCGTCGCGCACATCTCGCTCAATGTGTCGTGTCGCGTGCGTGTTTTGCCACGCCCATTCAAACTGCAACGCAGCGAATCTGGAAGGAAACCCAGTAACAATGCACGTCATCTCCCACGGCCGCTTCCCTTGCATCGACGTACGCTTCGCGCCGCCCTTGCTCGAGCCATTGTGCTGACCCAGGCGGCGGGCCGGATTGGGTGTGCTGCCGATGTAGAAGGCTTTTCGGTTCTTGGAGCGGAGTAGATAACAACAGTAGAAGGCTGGGATGGGGCGGCTTTCGATCTTGAGAGAATCAGCCATGATTAGACTGGATAAAGATGAAGTCGATGTTGTTGTTGATCGCATCCAAAAGCGTGCAACGGCCAGTTAGGGCTGACGGGACGATGCAGATGGAGGCTGTTGTGATTGGTGGGCAGGTACGCTTCCCGGTACGACAACCTTGCTGCCGACCTCACCTGCAGGAGTTCAGGCTTAGGTATAGAATGAACACGAAAGTAAGAAATTGGCAAAAATGTAATGTAAATGCGCAATGCTGCTAATGTTACGTTCGCTGTTTCGAGATGCGGTGCGATGATGCAAGCACGTGGCGAGTTTAGCCCGACAGGCGTTCACGCTGAAAAGGAAGAAAAAGTAACCACGTATGGAAATATCTGAGTCAGGCTGATATATGTGCTTGTTATGCGAGCCAATGTGGTTCGTTGGTCGCCGAGATGGTAGACAGCGGCGCAAAAGAAAGTTGGTGAGGTGAGGTCGGCACATGGACAGCCTTGCGTGCAGTCGCCAGATCGGCATGATGTAGCTCTCATACCTGACTGTGACTGCAGTTGAAGACTGCATTTTGGTATTGCGCCCATGCAAGGTAAAAATTGAGCGGAAAAGTCTCGTTAAATTCTCGAGTCTCCCCTAGGACAGACTGAGTTGTTATTTACAATGTTTTTCCGCGTGCCCTGCTGAACAAGCGTTGACGTTCTGGGTTCGGTACCTTTGGCTCGATATGCATCCGCCGCTAGCGGGAATCTCGCACCTTTCAGCGGGCCCCATCCATCCTCTCCATATCTCCTCACCTCCACAACCGAATTGCACAACCGCCGCCTCTACCACGTCGTTCGCTCGCAGGCTGACGTACAACCGTACTAATATTTGATTCTTGTAGAACTGCATCACGCGGTGTAAGCGGGTCGAGAGCGGTCGCCTGCCGCTATAGAGGCTCCATGCCTACGCCTATATCCCCTCGATAGTGCCCACGACCGACCGATTCACTCCCAATCACAGTCGCCATACCTACCATATCATCTCGTATTTCGTTACGAGGCTGCAACTAGGGCGGAAGTCGCGACAGCGCTGCATGCACGAGCAAGAGGGTCATGGTCGACTTCATGCCCCCCAGTGGGCCCTCGACAGGCGCCACTATGACTACCTTTCGAGTCGCTACGGACAGCGGAACGCCTGATGGAACAGCCAGTGCACCCAAGTCAAGAATGGGTGGTGCTGCGGTGCCTGCCATGAGTGGCGCGCAGCTGAATGGGGCTGGCACGATTCCCTTGAGCGCGCGTAAGGCGGCGCCGCTGGATCTCGCTACCGTAGAGCGCAGAGGACATGGGGCGCCGAACAATCTACCACCCAAGCAGAACCGTCTCTTTGGTTTGCGCGAGTCTCCAACATATCGACCGACAGCCGAGCAGTTCAAGGATCCCGTGCAATACATTCAGAGTATCCGAGAGGAGGCACAGAAGTATGGCATAGTCAAGATCGTGCCGCCGGATACCTGGAATCCGACGTTTGCCATCGACACAGAGCGCTTCCACTTCCGGACACGGCGACAAGAGCTCAACTCAGTCGAGGGCGGCACACGTGCTAATTTGAACTACCTCGATCAGCTCGCCAAATTTCACAAGCAACATGGCCACAGTCTCACTCGCTTTCCCAGTGTCGACAAGCGACCTTTGGATCTCTACAAGCTCAAGAAGGCCGTTGAAAAGAGAGGTGGTTTTGAACGTGTCTGCAAGCAGAAGAAGTGGGCTGAGATAGGACGCGACCTCGGCTATAGTGGCAAGATAATGTCTTCGCTGTCTACATCACTCAAAAATTCATATCAGAAGTGGCTGCACCCATATGAGGAGTATCTGCGTCTAGTCAAGCCTGGCGTGCAACAGATGCTAGAGTACGAGCATGGCGGACCTTTCACACCATCGCCAGCCCATTCGCCCATGAAGAAATCGCTACAGGGCACGCCTGTCGCCAACGCGACGGATTCGCCTGCCATAAGAGCTTCAGCAGCTCTGAACGCGACACTGCAGGGTGACTCCGTACCCACACCACCATCCGAACTGTCGCGACCTGCTATGCAGGCAGGCTTCACACCGGTGAACTCTGGAGGCTTTACAGCGGTCAACGCACTCTCATCACAGAAGCCATCTACGCAGCCCTCGACACCTAGTGCTTTTGTTGCGGCCAATGCCTCAGGTGCTATGCACCGGGATGTGTTGGAGTCGCGCACATCGACACCCCTGCGCAACGCTGGTAGCCCCATGCTCTCAGCTGACAACACACCCGACCTTCGACCGCCCGGCAATGGACTGACACCATTGGCCAACGGACATCAATTTAACCAGCTGAAGCGAACCTTCTCCCAGGATCCAGAGAGTAGTGCAAATGACGATGTGGATGAGGCAAGCGGGCGACGGAGTAAGCGACTTAAGAAAGACGCTCCTCCTACGGTTGCTGGCTCGCACATGACTCAGCCTCGCCAATCGACGCCCAGCCGGTCTTTCCCACGCGTGAGATCGGCCGACGAACGACCTGGTGATCGTTGCGAAACTTGCGGTACCGATAATGATCCACAGAACATTTTGTTGTGCGACAGCTGCGACTCCGGCTACCATGGTTATTGTTTGGACCCACCGATCAAGGCTATTCCTGCATATGACTGGCATTGCCCCAGGTGTCTTGTCGGCACGGGCGAATTTGGATTCGAAGAAGGAGGCATTTACTCGCTTAAGCAGTTCCAGGAACGAGCTCATCAATTTAAACAGAGTCATTTTGCCAACAAGATGCCTTTCGATCCGATCACCAACGCGCCAAAGCCGGTCACCGAGGATGACGTAGAACGCGAGTTTTGGCATTCGGTCGCAAACGTGACAGAGACGGTCGAAGTTGAGTATGGAGCAGACATACATTCCACAACACACGGCAGTGGCTTTCCTACGATCGAGAAGAACCCACGCGACCCCTACTCTACTGATCCATGGAATTTGACTGTACTCCCCTACGCGCCAGATTCTCTGTTTCGCCACATCAAGTCCGACATCTCAGGCATGACAGTACCTTGGCTATACGTCGGTATGGTGTTCTCGACATTTTGTTGGCATGCTGAAGATCATTACACCTACTCGGCAAACTACCAGCACTTTGGCGCTACCAAAACCTGGTACGGTGTACCAGCCGAAGATACAGACAAGTTCGAGCAAGCCATGCGTGAGGCAGTACCAGAATTGTTTGAGAGCCAACCAGACCTTTTGTTCCAGCTCGTGACGCTTTTGACCCCGGAGCAGCTTTTGAAGGCTGGTGTCAGAGTCTATGCGATTGATCAACGCGCTGGAGAGTTTGTGATAACATTCCCAGAAGCCTATCACGCTGGGTTCAACCATGGTTTCAACTTGAACGAAGCAGTGAATTTTGCACCGAGTGACTGGGAGCCTTTTGGTGAGCACGGAGTCCAACGTCTTCAGGATTACCGACGTCAGCCATGTTTCTCTCACGACGAACTACTATTGGCCGCGGCATCGCGTAAAGACACAACTATCAAAACCGCCAAGTGGCTCGGCCCTGCAATGGAGCGAATGCTCGAGCGAGAATCGCGCATTCGTGCAGAATTCCTCGAGAAGCACAAAGCTGCCAGACCGCATACTTGCAAAATTGACGGCACCGGCGATAGCGAAACACCATGTGAGCTTGAGTTCGTCGTCGATGATGCAGACATGCACGAAGATGAACTGATCTGTGCCTTCTGCAAGGCCTATGGCTATCTCTCTCGGTTTTACTGTAGCAAGACTAAGAAGGTCTTGTGTCTACAGCATGCGGGATGGTTTGAGTGTTGCCCAGAGACCCCAGAATCTGAGCGTCACTTTGGAGCCCAAGGTCAACACAAGCTAGTATACCGCATGCCCGAGGATGCTCTTACTACGCTAGTCCAAAAGATCGTTGACAAAGCAGGCATGCCAGAAGCTTGGGAATCAAAGATGGAAGCTCTGCTTGCCGAAGGGCCTCGGCCTCAACTGAAGTCTTTGCGCGCCCTCTTGAACGAAGGTGAGAAGATTGACTGGGACCTGAATGGCCTTCAGGATCTGAAAGATTTCGTCGATAAGTGCCAGGAAGTCGCCGAGGAAGCTATTCTCTATACCACTCGGAAGCAACAAGCCCGCCGCAAGGCAGAACGTCCCGGGAGAGGACGACCAAGCAAGGCGAACATCGCTGAGGCGGATGAGAAGGACCGCGAGTACCGCAACGTGGACAACATACAGAAACTGCTCAACCAAGCGAAAGACCTGGGGTTCGATAGTCCGGAAATAACTACGCTCCGAGAACGCGCTGAGAGCATTGTCGAGTTTCAGACTAGAGCGCGCACTGCTTTGCGTGAACGCACGTCTGAGCAAAGCATCGCTCGGCTTGATGAGCTCCTAGAGGAAGGGAAAGGTTTCAACGTCGACCTCCCCGAGCTTGAATCCCTCGAAAAAGTGGTACAGCAGTTGAAATGGCTCCAAGAAGCACAGGACTTCAAGGTGAAGCTGGCACCGACGCTTCAAGAAGTTGGTGAGCTCATCAAGAGTGGCGTTGAAGTCGGCATGCCAGAACACCATCCCGACCTTCGCTTCCTGCAAGAAAAACGAGACCAAGGCGAGTTCTGGGAAAAGAAGGCCAAAGAGCTCATGGAAGTGGAGAACGTGCATTACCAGCAACTCGATGCCTTTTCCAAGCAAGCGACCAACCTGCCCGTAACACCAGAGACCCGTGCAGCTATGGATGCTATTTTGAAAAAGCAGCGAGATGCACAGGAACTTATCATGTCATTATACGAGCGAAGTAAGAATCCTGACTTCTCTCAGCGACCAAAGTACATGGAAGTCCGCAATGCCATGGAATCACTGAACGCACTGAACGGCAAGCCTAATGGCACGAACGACCTTGAAAAGGAACAGAAGCGACATGAAGATTGGATGAGACGAGGAAAGAAGCTCTTCGGCAAAGCCAATGCGCCCCTCCATATTCTCCATGCGCACATGAAGCAAGTCGACGAGCGTAATCGTTCCTGCTTCGACTTGTCTGATCAGCCTCGAATGCCTGTGGAGCCCGCCTCTCGTGAACAGAGCCCAGCTGATGGCGAAGAGGTTGACGGTTCGGGATCTAGCCGAGATGTCTTTTGTATCTGTCGAAAGCCTGAAGCTGGCATGATGATCGAGTGTGAACTGTGTCACGAATGGTAAGATACTTGGCTTCAAGGAAAGCAGGCACGTGCTAACAATTACAGGTATCACGGGAAGTGCTTAAAGATCGCACGCGGAAAGGTCAAAGAGGACGACAAGTACACGTGTCCCATCTGCGACTACCGTGTTAAAATCCCACGCGATGCGACTCGTCCTAAATTGGAGGACCTGCAGCTTTGGCAGGACGAAGTTCCTGGTTTGCCGTTCCAACCCGAAGAAGAGGAGACATTGGACTCCCTTATCGAGCACGGTACCAAGTTCCGTGACTACGTTGCGCAGTACATCAATCCGTTGATGTCAAGCCCTGATGAACTCACCACGCAGCGGTTCTACCTACGGAAGCTTGAGGGCGCCGAGATCCTTCTCTCCAACGAGATCAACTTCTTCCGTCAGGAGCTGCATAAGTGGGCACCAGTTGCCCCAACGCCACCGCCGATTCTACAGGCGTCGCTCTCTACGCGTAAGCCTCGGCCCACGAAGCAACAAAAGCTTATGACCCAGTTGGGCATCACCAATCCAGATGATCTTCCACAGCACCTCAAGACCAAGACTCACCAGTTTAAGCGCAAGGATGGAGACGGTCTCAAGTCGACGAGTCAGCAATCTGGTGCTGCTGAGCAATCTCATACACCCCCTGGCGAGCCTCGTCAAGGTGCTGGTGAAAGCAGTGAGTACTTTAACACAACCACTACGTCTACGTTCAGCAACTCTCCTACATTTGCTACGACGGCTCCACTCAGTTTTGGCGGAGGTTCTTCCATCGCGCCCATCGATCCAGGTCTCTTTGAGAGCTCAGGCCCGGCAGCTCCGACCAGTCCTATGCAAGACCCGTTCAAGAGCTCAGGTAGTGGCAACGAGATGTTTGGCGAAGCAATGGAGATGGGTGGTGGTCAGGCAGAAGAGGCATTGGCTGTCACCGAAGGCAACAATTACATGGAATAGAACTCCGACGGCTATACACCACGATCGCCAGACGATGGCGCATAATTTCCTATAAGCATTTTAGGGCGGCGTTCGGCAAGGGCCGTTGTACAACACGGCTCGTTCTCATGTTTTGGTCTGGGATTCCACGACTGTTGTTGTCAGAATTGTCACTGTTTCATCATTTCGCGGATCATTGATTTTTGATAGCTGCTCCCACAGCTACTGCAAGGTTGGGTGTTCATGTTAGCATGGCGCTGCTTGTTGCATCAATGGGTGTTTGGGAGCACGAGAGGGCCACTGGCCAGCATACCCCCCAAAATAGGCACGTGGTGGGCTCAGAGTTTTAATACAATCTTTGATAATGAATGCATGCTGCAATAATCAACTAAGTCGGGTATCTGGTGAAGTTTGAGCTGAGGCCAGTTTGTACGCGTGATGCGGGGATCTCGGAGGTTTGCTCGAAATGCGCTATGAATGAGGCCCGTGCACACGACTTTTCTAAAGCCGACTCTGATGGTCGACGACGTCGGAAGACACATCGCAATGCTTCCAAGTAGAGGGCTGCGGCCGGCCCAGTTTGCGCCTTTGGCCTCACGACAATCGACAGCGCTACGATCCAATGCTACAAGGAAGGTGCGCATACCTGCGAATTTAGTTGCCCACTTGGTCGAAATCACACATCCGCCTTCTCCTGCCCAAGTCGCACAGTTTCCTTTCCATAAAGACTCTTCCACCGCTGCAACTGAAACCGAATACGAGCTCACATTCATGTACTAATTGCCGCAGTTCTCCTCCCTTCCCCGAACTGCCAACCTCTCAAGCTCGTCATGTCGGACAAGCCCGCTCCAGTCGGCGCTGTGGAAGTCAGGCGCGAACCGGACCCAGAATGTCATGATGAGTGCGTCATCTGTCCGATACGCTTCATGGTATGCTCCTTGGAGCTGGGGCAAGTCTAGCGGCTCTGTCGACGCCAGTTCCCTTTCGCCTGCCGAACGGGTGCCAGTCGCCGAATTCTCGAATCGCCCAGTCTCCGAATCTGCGCAAGCTGCAGAACCTGCCGTCACCACATCTACCCCGGAGCTCGCTCCTGCAGCCATCGATAAGCCTGCTGTTGTAGACGGAGCATCCGTGTCCACCGAGGCCGCAGCAGAAACCGCATCCACATACGCTGAACCCAAGACACTCAATGACCTGTTCGGTGCCGAACCTGTCAAGGACACTCTCCCTACTGCTGAAATCGACCCTACTCGCCTAATCGACCATGCCGGACAATTGAAGGAACTTGGCCTCGACTACGGCTACGGTATGACGACTCTTTTCGAGAAGACCATTGAAACCATCTACCTACAATCAGGCTGGGGCTGGGCTGGATCGATCGTTGCCGCTGGTCTTGTCGTCCGTTGCGCGACCTTTGTTTTCCAGGCTATGAGCTCAGACAAGATGGCAGCCATGGCCTCTTTGGGACCCATCACCAAGCCTATCCAAGAGAAGATGGAGGCTGCCATCGCTCGGGGCGACAAGCAGCAAGCCGATATGTACAAGATGCAGCAGGCGCAAATCATGAAACCATATATGGGAGGCATTCTCTCTACCGGAGGTTTCATGATCATGCAAGGTTGGATTGGATTTTCGGCCTTCAGATTTCTGAGAGCCATGGGCGAGTTGCCTGTCCCAGGCATGTCTCAAGATGGATTCTTGTGGTTTACTGATTTGACCGCTCGCGACCCCTATCTCGTTCTACCCTTTGCTACTTCAGCTATCATGTATACTGTTTTCAAGGTAAGTTTATACTCCCAAACAAGCTCCTATACTAGCTGACGTGTCGAATAGACTGGAGGTGAAACCGGTATCCAAGCCGATGTTGGTCAGGCCGCCGCACGTCAATATATGTTCACTGGTCTCTCAGTCTTCCTCGGTTTCGTTACAGCATTCCAGCCGGCCGGTCTTCAACTCTATTTCCTTGTGTCTGGTGTCATGGGCGGTCTCACCGGTTGGCTCCTGCGCCAGAACGGCTTCAGAAGTATGATTGGCATAAGGAAACTGCCCAGCAAGGCGAGCACCGAGCTCTATACCAAGGTTGCCAAGGGCGAGTTGAAGCTGAAAGACATCAAGGGAGCAGACGGAAGGGTTCGTTACCAGCCGCCCACCCGCACAGCTGCCCCGAACAATCGTCGGCAACTGTCTGGTATCAACCTCAAACCAGGAGTTGCCCTCCCTGCGCATCTCCAGGTGGCGGCACCCAAGATTGACACTGAGTACCCTGACCGTGACGTGGACTATGATGAAGGTATCAAGGGCAAGCCAATCAATGAGAAGTTGGACTACTACCGCAGGAACTACCGCATCAGCTACGTATGGAGGAGAATGACCAAGGCCACTGAAGCTGGAATGCGGAAGGTTGGTTTTGGAAGCAAGAAGATGTCAACGGAGGAGGCGAAAAGGAAGCAGAAGGCTGAGGATTACGAATACGAGAGGAGGCGGAGGTTCCAAAACAGGGCCTAGACGCGTCGAAGAGACGTGCTAGAGGTTCTAAGGAACTTGTATAATATACGAAGGTGTTCAACCTTGTGTTAGTAGTAGCAGTACGTGCATCTCAAAACAGGGTTGGGACGAATAGGAGTTGGGCAGTACGCATAGTCAGATTTTGTACAAATATTGCATATGCAAATACTCCAGATCAGACTTGCCATGTCGGTATTCGCACTCTTAGATGTGTCGAGACCGTACTCGTTATGCGTATAAATCCTATGCCATGAATCGCACTTGTATGTACACATGCGTTCCAGGAACCTCAACCTTGCTTGCGGCTTCTACTCAAGAGACGTGTACATGTCCAATTCCTGGCCATTCCTCCGCCTTCGCTCCACAGGATCAGCGCGCATCTCTACACCAGGGCCCACACGTCGAGAGTCGGATCCGGAGCGGTGCGACGGGAAGATCTGCATCGCAAAATGTTAGCATTCTTCTGCCCAAGGAGATTTTCATTCCTGAGGCCCTTTTACATACCTTTGTGCCACTCCAGCCCAACCGATACGCAGCTTCGTTTGCGACCAGCTCTCCAAAGCCCAACATGAGTCCATTGACAAACGGCAGGAACAGGTTGATGGCTGCGCCACGGAGTAACCCCCAGATTGTCGGAGGCTTGTAGAGGATCAAAGGGGTAGAACTCGAGGACGCTGGAGAGGAGGAAGAGAGCTCGTTGTTTGCATCGTAGTTTTCGCTGTCCGAGGGGATGGTTATGCCGGATTCGGTGAGGTTGGCTGCGTCGGACGCCATTTCAGACAGCGTGTGGGTGTTGAATGCGGAAGATGCGTAGAGGTGGGACGTTGCTTTGGGTACGTGGTGCAGGACGGTGGATGTTGAACGAGCACTGGAAGGAGCCCCACGCGGAGGTGATGCGGAGACGGCGCGGGTCTGGCTTGAGCTAGAGGATGGTAACGTATGAGGTCAACTCTGCTCGATTGACTCGGATTGTCGTCTACGGGGCCAGATGCAGTCCGCTAGGGCGCGTGGGTGAAATCGCGCGACACTCCCGAGGTAGACGCTCGTCGGTGTTGATGAGGCTCACATTAATCCCAGTCTTGCCAAGCATTATCTAGGAACATGGATGCATGCCGGAAGCTGCTGCATTGTCTATGCAACGGGATCTGGCTGGTGAATCTTGGAATTCAAGTGCATCCTGGACTTGAATTGATCAATCGTTTTGTTCCCTGGTTAGACAGTGCATATTCAGAAAGAGGTTTGCGATACGTAGTGAAGGAGGGAAGCAAGAGCAAGCGACGTCACCAGCTACCGCCTCTACCTAACAAAGCTCGCCGCGCTGACAGTTTACATGGACCCCACCCCAACCAGTCAACGCGTGCGAGCTACACCAACCCCAACAACACTCTCATCTTCAACTGTAGCGTCATCCACCTGTAATGTCTGAAGCTGCACCCGACAACGACGCTCTGATCGCCCAGCTTGCTAGCCTTACTGGCCTCGATCCTGCAACAGTAGGTTGATAGAAGGTCATCGAAGCTATTGGACCTGCTCACTAACACGGACAATAGGCTGAACGCTACCTGAACGCTTCCAACGGAGATCTCACCCTCGCTGCATCGCTCTTCTTTGACGAGGCTCAGGAGCAACAAGAAGGAACTTCCGAACCAGACGTCGACATGGCCGGCGACGAGCCAAACACAGACCCTACCCAGAACCCTCCGCCCACCGGAGCTGGTGGTGGACGCACTCTCGGGGGCGCATATGTACCCTCGCCGGCGCCAGCGGCATCTTCATCATCAGCGCAGCCTGCTGCTGCTCGTGGACAGCCTACACAGAGAGGTGTGGCAGGTGCTCGCACGCTGAGGGACCTGCAGGCATCGGGCGGTGGCGGACACGGACACGCCCACGATGACGACGACGATGATGACCACGCCGACGACGAGAACCAGGACTTCTTTGCCGGTGGTGAGAAGTCTGGCCTGGCTGTCCAGAACCCCAACCAGTCGAATCCGCGCGACCAGATCAACAACATCTTGAAGCGGGCACGACAGTAAGTTGGTCAAGCGTTGTTCGCGCCACTCCAACTAACAGACGTAGGAACGCTCCCCGTCCAGGCGGTGACGACGAGCAACCAGCTAGCTCGTCTCATTTCCGTGGCGCAGGTACGACCCTCGGAGGCGACGATGCTCCTTCCCGGACCATCCCAGACCCCACGGCCAATATCCCCGCACCGCCCCCGCGCGCCCACCGCGAGCTTCACCTCTGGCGTGACGGCTTCTCAGTCGACGACGGCGACCTGTTCCGCTACGATGATCCCGCAAACGCACGCACACTGGAGATGATCAACACAGGTCACGCTCCACTACATATCCTAAATGTAGAACATGGCCAGGAGGTGGATGTCGAGGTGCACGCGCACAAGGACGAAGACTACAAGAAGCCAAAGAAGAAGTACGTTCCCTTCTCGGGTAGCGGAAACCGTCTGGGTAGCCCCACCCCGGGTGCAAGCTCAGCGGCTGCTCCCATGCCGGCTACTGCTTCAAGTAGCACGGCAGCCTCGACCCCAGGGGCTTCTGCGCAACCTACCGTCGACGTCGACTCATCTGCTCCTACCCTTGCGCTCCAGATTCGCCTCGGTGACGGTACACGGCTGTCGTCGCGCTTCAACACGACACACACTATTGGCGACGTCTACGACTTTGTCACCAGGGCTAGCCCCGCCAGTCAGGATCGCGAGTGGGCGCTCATGACCACGTTCCCCAGCAAGGAATTGACGGACAAGGCCCAGGTTCTAGGCGATATTTCAGAGTTCAAACGTGGTGGTGTAGTAGTGCAGAAGTGGAAGTGAAGACGTGCTTTACGTCGGTGCGCCCTCGAGTCCAGAATTGCCGTTCATCGCAGATGGTGCGGGGTGCGGATAATGGAAGATTCAGAGGGTGAAAGGTTACGCTGATCATGACAATATCATTGCACGCAGATGCAGAAGGCGTTATGGCAAAATGCATGATAGACTTGGGAACGATAGCTGGATAGCATTCATGACAATATCGATCCTGCAGGATGCACAAGTTGCACAACCTGCCAAATGTGTTACCCGTTGTTATCTGGCATGGTGCATTGCATTGCATGAACTCGACAAGTGTGCGCGTCGTCGCACTGCAGCCCGTCTGTTTGGCGGTCGCCTCACGATTGGCGGAACGTTTAGTATTGTGTTTGCAAATCCGTAATTTGTCTGGACAAAAGGGCCGAGAAGGAGTTTCCTCATTCTACGTTATCTGTTCATTGCTCAGGTTGACTGCCCATCGATGCAGGGTTTACTGTGGGACTGATGGTGCGCATGTCCGTTGGATCGGCTGAATAAGATGACGACCTCAGAATCGTTCCGTTTCGCTTGGGTAATAGACGCCCTTCTTATCTTTAATTATACCGCCAACGACGATGCAACAGCGACCGGAGCTAACAATATCGCGCCGAAGCCTATGATGGTTTGTGTGAGTCGCGTTATTTGTGTGCGCCCCCAAATATCTGCAAAGGTGCAAGGTCAAGTGAACAAGTCGCCATATCAGTCGTTGGGATTAGTTCCGTCCTTCCCTTCGGATAGATGAGTCGCGGGCATGGTGCGACGGCTCTGCCGCTCGGAGGATTTTGCGAAACGCGCAAGCACCGATGTGAAGGAAGACATGGCACCACTAGGACGCAACCACTACTCGTCGCTAGAGGATCAACAGGCGTGCAACGCGTCAGCACTCCCCTGGAGTACCTTGCAGCACGGAGCGGGAGGCGGTGCGGGAGTTGGGGGTAAGGTGTGCTGGTGTCAAAACCGATGGGGATACCCAGATCGACGAGGCTCTGGCCGCGTACTGCCGTTTGAGAGTGTTCGACGCTTCTTCTGCTCGTGCAATTTCGTACCCTGTCGAGTTGTCTTGTCCCGCGCTCTTGGTATCGTCATTTCCGTCTAATCATCGTCTGTTTTTTTCTCTTGATGCTTGCTCTCCTCGATCCAAATCGTACGCTCTTTTCAGTCTTGCGCTGGCCTCTACCCAATCGATCCACGTGCGGCAGGAACCACCGTCGAAGATAGACAGATTGATCATCGCTCTTGCCTTCTTCAATCAAGCCGGCCCCGCCTTCCTTTCCTTTGCATCTAAGCTAGCATTGCTCGGCGGCGCCTTCACCCAGATCATCACCGCCATCCTTAAGCACCACGGTCCTTACCACCTTTACCCTTTCAACACTCCTCTTCGCCATCCGTCGCCAGTCCTTCATTCGCGCTACACTCTAGCAACCTTCAAGCGATGCAGCTTTTACACTATCGGTAAAGATACGACTACCCCCAGTACACTAGGTACCATACCAGCATAAGGTTAGTGTGCACCACTAAACGATACGAATACGAACAACATCGACATCATGTTTGTCCGATCACCTCGCAGATTTGCGATACTCTCTTTTGTAGCATTGGTTTTCATCTTCGCCGTATTGCATCAGAGTCCATGGGCGCAAGACCAGGTTTACGAGCGCATGCCGCTCTTCAATTCGGGGAGGAGACCACAGGAACAGGAGCTCCTGAACGAAGGCCTGGCCGAGTCGCAACCACAACCCGAGGATGCATGGGGTCATGCCGTGCCTGTGCCTGGCGCGAAGCCTAGCACCACTGATGCGCAATTGGCAACTGGCGCAGCACAAGTCATTCCGCCGCCAATGGAGACTACGCGCGAGCCTGAGGTCGACGCGACAAAGCCCACAAAGTCCTACCCACCATGGGTGACGGCGCCATCGAGGACCGGCTCCTTCATCCCTCCCACCCCGAAACCGACCAACTGGAAGGAGTACATGACGAAGATGCTGGATTGGCCGCGACCCAGCTGGAACGGTCATTGGCCGCCTTTTAACGACTACGTCGACAAGAAGTACGACCCCAACCGATGGGAGCAATTCGACTTGTGAGTTCTCGTATCTTGCGCGCACGACATTGATGTTTCTAACCATGTGTAGGGATTACCGCATCTACGAGTCTAGCCATAACAAGCTCAACGACACGATTGCCTCTGATCCGATCGCATACAAACCGTTCCCCAAGTACAATACCCCGGACTGGAAAAAGAAATGGCACGGTGAACATGTGGCTTGTCTGGGTCCACGAGGCAGGATGCTCAATGAGAGCACCGACGATGAGGTTCAGGTTTATAAGGGCATCCCCGAAGATTTCCCTCCGGTGTACGCTGGTGGATATGATGTCATTGGATTGGACGATGATGTCTGCTTCGACCGATACTCGCGATACGGCCCGTACGGTTATGGCGACGATGAGTTTCCAGAGGAGGTCAAGGACTGGAAGGCACCAGAAACAGTCCCAGAATGGCCTCAAGTAAATTGGGGTGCGCTCCAGGACGATTGTCTCGAGCGCAACAAGGAGCGTTACCGACCAAAGGCTCGATCGCCAATCGTGAAGATTCCCAGCACCGTTCTCCCCGAACCCGCGGTGGCATCATCAGCGTTTGCAATTCCCACAGACACGAGCCGAAGCAACTTGGAGAACCGCGACGAGGGCGAGAAGAAGTACCACCACCGCACCGCCATCCTCATCCGTGCTTGGACCGGTTACAACTATGAGGAGAACGACATTACTGCTATTCGCGCGATGGTCTCTGAGCTCTCTCTTCAATCCGGCGGTGAATACCAAGTCTACCTTTACGTCCATGTAAAGGACAGAGATGCGCCCATTTTCGACAGCCAGTATGAGTATGACCGCATCCTAAAAGAGAACGTACCCGAGGAACTACGCGATATCGCTATTCTATGGTCAGAGTCCATCTTTCCGAAATGGTATCCCAAAGTTATGGACTGGCAGGTCTACTGGCAACAATTCATGTGTCTGCAATGGTTCAGTCTTACCCATCCCGAGTTTGATTATGTCTGGAACTGGGAAACAGACGCGAGGTACACTGGACATCATTACCATTTCTTCGAGAAGATTAGCGAGTTTGCGGACAAGCAACCTAGGAAGCTATTGTGGGAGCGCAACAAACGCTACTATCTTCCGAGTGTACATGGCGATTACCAGTCATTCGTCGAGCAGACCCACAAGGATGTCCTAAATGCATCCGCAAACTCGCTCATCCCACCTCCTGTTTGGGGACCGCGCCCATGGAAACTTGCCATACCACCACAGAAGCCACTGGGTCCTACACCACCAACGACCATGGAGGAAGACAACTTTGAATGGGGTGTTGCTGAGCCTGCAGACTTCATCACCCTTCTTCCGATGTGGGATCCAAGGAACACGACCTGGTCTTACAAGGACAAGATCTGGAACTACCTGCCACACATCCGACCAATCTTCACTCCGGAAGATGGTCAAGCTGATTGGTTCACGCATCCCGTCTTCGAGCAGATTGATCGCCGAACTTTCATCAACACTGTTGTACGGTTCAGTAAGAAGATGCTACAGGCTATGCACGAGGAGAACTTGGTTGGACGCAGCATGCAAGCCGAGATGTGGCCCTCCACAGTCGCACTCCAACATGGTCTCAAGGCGGTGTATGCACCTCACCCAATCTTCAACGACCGCCACTGGCCCGCTGCTTACACTGAAGCCATCTTCGATACCGCATCGACCGTAGACGAGGATACAGGCGAAGCATTGGAACCTCGCCAGGGCGCCTGGACCGAAGAAGCTGACTCGCCATACAACCATGACCGTGAGTTCAACTTCCAAGGCTGGAGTTGGTATTACGCATCGCGCTTCCCTCGCAACCTATACCGGAGATGGCTCAACTGGCCTATCGTGCAGCAAAATTGGGGAGAGTCAGAAAAGATCGATGGTGGACCAGGCTCTGACGGCGAGCTGGAACAGAAGAGAATGTGCATACCGGGTATGCTACTTCATCCTGTAAAGAGGATGGCCAAGTACAAGGAAAAGCCTTGAGCGAGACGACGAAACGCAACGCAAGGTCTCACACGACCAATGATCATCAAACTGCGTGTTGACACGAGTATATCTGAACACCGACATTTCTGCGGTGTATAGAAGGGGGGCGAGCGCTATTCTATTGCGACTTCTTTCATACCAAAAGCATGGCCGGAGCTCAACCTGCCTCACGTTTTGCTTTCTCTACTGATACCTCTTCCTGTTTTTCTTTCTGTTACCAGACTTCAAGAGTCTGCTGGGCTTCATCGTAGGGATCATTGGCATTTGCTGGACATTTACTTGGCGCTTTGGGAACTATATATGGCATCAGCGTTTTTTACACGCATCGTCACTTGGTTGACAGATTTTTGGCCCGATGGTCGATAGATATAGATGGCATTTTTTTGAATGTATAAGGATTACTGTTCATTTTGTGCCCATCACGGTTCCGTGATTTCATGATTGTTTGCGTATCTTATATGCGTTGGTGAATAAGACACGGCGGTTCATATTGGTAAATTAAATTCCTGATGAATGGCGAAGTCCTTAAGAGTGCCAAATATCGCAAGTTCGTTTGGCGACTTCAGTGATTCTCTTTGTAGGATGAGGAACTGGCATTCTTGTTCACATTGTCTCTACGACCTTTGGCTGGATTAAGTAACCAGCAACTCTCAATGCTCTCTTCGTGGGACGAAGCGTCTGTATACTATGGCCTTGAGGTAGTCGCAGCGAATATTAACGTTTCTATTACCAAGGAGTACATCAAACCAATCGTGATGTACCTGCACCGATCACGCGTTAGTGGCCATGTATGCCTCCAAAGGTGTCCTCGTTTTCGGATGAGGGGCACGCATAGTGTTGCGCACGAACCATCCTGAGGGGGACTCGTCATCTCCCAACATCGCGCATTCATCACATTATCAATCTTGGTATGTAACTCGCACATGGTTGGAGTGGGTGGACGTTCCAAGGCTTGCGATAATTGCAAAAGGCGACGCGTAAAATGCGGTAAGTCTGCCCCAGCTGCTCTGCAGCCCTAACGCGTGTGTTGACGTCATAAGACCTTTCGAAGCCGCAATGCGCAAGATGCATCAAGGCGCGATTACAGTGTGGTGGCCCCCGTGGCATTGCAATCATCCAATATGGTCGGGGCATAACTACTCAATCTGATGATTCTGATCCTGCGCGTTCCTCTGCGCTCGAGACCATCGCCACCGCGCCGGCGAACATACAGCAGCCTGTTCCTAAAATACACCCAGGACTTTCGCTCTCCCAGGATGAAACTTTCACTTCATTCACCCTTTTACACTTTCTGCCGACTTCGGGTGTCCTGGGCGTTGCCCCTGGGACCATAACAACAAAATCATTCCTTGCGTAAGTCATCTTCACCTACAAGCTGCACATGAGACATGTAATGACTTCATACACCTACATCTAGGCTTGCTACCACGTATTTTGGTATCAAACGCCAGGATAATGCCATTACCCAGTTTGGGCTCAAGCGGTACAGTGATGCACTTGGTGCCGTACATTCGGCTCTGGAAGAGTCTATATCTTCGCCTACCTTTGATTTGCTTGAAGCGATCATGGTCATGTCACTTATCGAGGTGCGTCCTATGTTTCTCAGCGTATACTGTTTCTCACAACTACTAGTTCCTTGTCTCAGACCGCGAAAACGGTTGGATAAATCATGCTCGAGGACTGGAAAGGCTGTTCGAAATGCGGGGATCAGAAGCCATGGCATCACTTCCGTGCCTTATGATCTTGGAAAGGACGCGCCCTTCACTTATCTTTGCTGGACTTGTCTTGCGCAAGCCGACGATAATGTCGAATATTGAGTGGAAACGTGATCCATGGTGCTTGCACCCAGAACGCGTTGACTCGCTCAAGCTTATGTTTGACATTCTCGCAGACTGCCCTTCACTTTTCGTTCTGCGCGATAAGTTATCGTCGTATCCTGATGAAGAGACAAGGATGACTGCAGTTCAAAGTCTCTCTGAAGAATTTCGGCGAGTGGTCGCCAGTCTGGATAGTTGGGGGGAGCGATTCGCATCTGATCCGTCTCATACTCCTGACGAGATTCCTGCGGTCCGAACAACACCAATAATAGAGGATGAGTACGGAACCTTGCGTTCTGCCTGGTCTACTGTTTTTCGATACCAATCCCTCTATCACGCCAACGCTATGGCTATGTACAATGCTACTACCATATTGGCTTTTCGATTTGCCGATAGCATTCATGTTAGTTCAGGGTCGCCTTTCGAACACCACATCCGAAGAAAGCGTATTTCAGCAGCAGCGCTTTCCATATGCCGTAGCATTGACTACCATCAACAAGAGATGTGGGGTGAGCAGGGCAGTTTCGCTTTGCTTTTCCCTCTGCGTATGGCGTACGACGGACTCAGCGAGGAGGAACCTATAGTAGGCGCATGGTTACAATCTGTCATGCACGACATATCGGCTGGGAAACAGGGGCTGTGGAGATCGGCAAAAAGTCTTCTTGAAATCGGGAGATGAAGTAGCGTCAAACGAAGAGGTAGTCACGCTGCTTTATGACCTTGCTAATCACAGACGCATATCGAGCAAGTTCTGTCTCATTTACTACGCTAACGCATGTAGTGACTCCACGACAATATACTCCATCTTCGCGACCGTCTTTTGGTCTTTTTCCATCCTTCTGTCTGGTTTACTATGCGCTTTGGTGTCTCTCCTATGTTGCTTTCTGGAGCGCTTTCTTTCTCTACGCCTTCTCTTCTCCTCCTTCTTTTCTCGTTTGCGCTCCGCCTTGTCTGCTTTCCTTCTTTCTCTACTGTTGAGCTCAGCGCGTGGTTTTGACATGGAATTTTCAGTGGAGCTGATGCTAGAAGCACTAGATACAGAGCTCATGCTCGAGTCGGAGCTGTAGCTGTCTTCTTCTTTCTTCCTGATACGACGTTCGATCTGCTTTGCAGCCAATCTATCGAGAGAGTTGCGTTGCTCCATTGGTGGGGATACATTGAACGACAATGGTGCTATGTGAGGCATGAGCACTTGTAATCGGCGGTGTCCTGCTGTTTGGGGCAAAGAGCTGCTACCAAGGGGTCTTGACGAAGTCAGGAGTGGACAAGAAACGCGACAATTTTGTACTCACGACAATGGAGGCATGTTTAGATCATAGTGAAGCCTCTCTGCCAATTGTCTTTCCTTGTAGATCGAAACTTTCAGCCCGCGAGGCGCAAAGTATTCTCGGTTTGCTGTCTCCAAAAATCGGCTGGTTCGCGTTCTTGTCGTTGCAGCTGTTCCGATTCCGGCTACCATGTTCATGCTGGTACCAGCGATCATTGCCCAATGGTGCGGTCTAGCAGTTCTGTAAGAGTATGTATAGGATTCGAAGGAGATCTCAACGTACACAATGCCTACCACATGGCCTGCTGTATCCAGCGCCTGGAGCGGAACTGGTGGGGCCTGGGCGACACTGAGATTATCGAGGAATGCGACAAAATCCTTTTCATGAATGTTGAAGGAACGAAGATCGGAACTGTACGCTCGTATGAATGGGAACGGAGTTCCTAGTAAACCGCTTACATCGAGCCTCGGTATCACGACGGGTTTCTGCACGAATCTGTAAGTTGCGTTCGCCATTGCTGTTGACATCATGGCTCACCTGGAGGATTTGAGTTCTTGGCTGAACTGTGCTTGATGCCCCAGGAATCCAATCTGTTGCTAGATGTAAAAACTCGTCGTCGGATTGGGATACAATGTTCGGTGGCGATGCGGCTTCGTATGCTGCGAGTGCTTGGTGTGGCCTCTCGAAAGAATGGCTTTGGTAGGAAGGAGGATCCCATGGCATCATGGTATCATTATGTTGAGACTGCATGGCGTAGTTACTACTGTCCATTCAAGAGTCTAACATAGACTATAAGTATTCAGAGCCTCACGCTCAATACAAGATGAGCCGCAGCTTGGTGCATCGTCAGATGCTCGAAGCTTTGACTGTAGCCCAAAAGAGCCCATTCCTCGAGACTCAGCCTCTCAGGCACATAAGCAAGCGGGCATAATCAAGCACTATCAAGCTCAAAGCAGTGTAGATCATTATGCCAATGCGGCTGAATCCTCGAGGATACTAACCGCTTGTTACCTAGTGCAATTAGCGTCATCTGCTCGGATTGCCTATTCGGGCTCATTTCTCGAAACTCGCCGATCAGTCAGTGGTAGTAAACGCTCAACTTGGAATTCAGTCAACGAATGCGTGTTGAATGTACTGAAAAAGCTAGTTGCTTGAACTTTGGACGGTGAGCAGCTCGGAAAATGAAGCCACGTAACAGAAAGCGAGAATTGCAGGTGTGTCTAGTAGGCTCGTTTTTTGGTAAAAGTACTCCTTCAGCACAACCCTTGCCTATGGTGAACAGTACTACGACACGGCTGCCTGAGATAGAAAAGTAGGGTGCAGCAGCACACTCGATCGCGAGCGGATAACGCCTGCCACTTGGAGTATGCAGGCGCTGTAAAGATACATTGCTTTTATGGAAGTCGTTGTCTATCTACCTGACTGCGCCCTGATGATCGCATCGGCGAGCTTTCCGGCAATGGCATAGACGCTGGCACTTAGGTGCCCCGAGATTTGCGTTGGAAAGACACTGGCATCGACGACCCGGACGTTGTGCGTTCCATAGACTTTGCCTTCCATATCTACCACACCACCCAAGTTCTTGCTCAGCATTGCGCAAGTACTCACGGGATGCGAATTACCACCCAAAGACTTCTTGATCCAAGTATCCCATGCTGCATCCCTCCAGCTTGCATGCTCAGGTACTGCTTGGAAACCGGGCGAGATTTCACCTATAGTGTGCTCCGCGAGCGGTAAGGTTGCGAAATGTTTGCGTATACTGATCGCAGCAGCAGCTTGCACATACATGTCGATGGGCAACTGCAGAAAATTTGGATCGATACTTGGCGGCGAGTTTGCATCTGTCGACTGGATGTGTATTGAGCCTCGAGAAAGTGGTATCAGATTCCAGAGCTGTGCGATGATCTGGTGGTCTGTTGGGGCCCATAGGATCTCTGCTAACGGAACCGTGCTTGCTGGATCAAATACCAAATCTACTTGGTGCTCTAAGAGCTGTTTTTGGGTCTCGACGGATATGGTGTTGGGCGGGTAGTCTGCGACGATTGCTTCTGCATATGCACTCAGATTGGCCCGGATTTCATCCACGAGAGCTGGTAGTTCGTCTCCGAACAGGTCGGAAGCTGTTGGGTATGTAACGAAGGTAGGGTAACCCGTCCAGTTTGTGGACGAGTTATACGCAATCCCATTCTGTGGTTGATCTGGCAGATTCGATCCAACAGAGTGAAGTGGATTGACTGTCTTAATACCGAGCGGATCAAGTACGGCAGGATTACCAACGCCAGAGTGTTCAAGAAATGCTGGTGATCTAATCGAACCAGCTGCAACAACGACTTCCTTCGAAGCGCTGATGGTATGGGTGGCGTTTTTAGCATCAATCACCTCAACACCTGAAGCAACCACTTCAGACGTCGCTGACTGTTCTTCATCCCAGATGATGCGTGCAGCCGTGGTGTTGAAAAAGACCTGGAGATTAGGCCGTGATGCGATAGGAAAGTAGAAAGACCTTGCTCCATCTGCCCTTATTGGTCCGGTACTGTTCAGCGTCATAGGCCAGGTGTTGAAACCACGCATGTTACCGTCATTCGCATCCGTGTTGTAAGGATGACCGAGGGCTTCAGAAGTCTCTTTAAGTATGTCGACGAATCCTTGGCCAATGAGGTAAGGGGTGAAGCCCACGGCAAGCTCTCCATCTTTTCCATGTGCATCATCTTTGTAGATCGCGCCTTTCTTCTTTAATGCCTCACTTGGCTCTTCGAATCCCTCTTGCTTCAAGAAATACTCCAGCATACCATCCCAGTTCCAACCCTCGTTTCCCAGTTCTTCCCACGCATCAATCTGGTCCTTCTCGGCGCGCAGATATGTCATTCCATTGATCGTAGTGCTACCTCCCAACGCCTTCCCTGCCCAGTAGTTCAAGCTGTTGTTCCCCGCATACTTTTGAGGCGCAGTCATATACTTCCAGTCAATTGATGTGCCTATGAAAAGGCCATACTCTAAAATCGACTTTGGCACGTAGGAGACGTTTGGATTGTTGTATGCGGAATCTCCAGCTTCAATGACTGCAACAGTAACATCGGGGTCGGCGGATAGTCTGTTTGCCACAAGCAGGCCTGCTGGACCTCCCCCAACTATAACATAATCGTATGTCTCGGATGCGCAGTCAGCGCGAATGGCTAGGGCAGCGAGAATAGATAACCAAAACATGATGCGTCATAGGAATCGGAACATGAAACTCAACTCGGGTGCCCCTGGCGCGGCATCACGGTCTATATATCTGGGGTATGTGGAGACCCCGAGAAAGTAGGCCTCCCAAAACCTCCGTAGCGAGTTGTGTGCATGCAGTGGATCGCAAGATATGTCATTGGCTCGTTACGTCATTGCCAAGCTTAGGCTTGCCTAATTGTCGGGGTCAACAGCCCTATCAGGTACTCTTCTCGAGCCCACCCCTCTGAGGAAAAGCTGAATATCGATCATGATGCGTTCGGTACGATACCGTCACTGAGCAAGCTCTGGATGAAGAATGTACAAGTCGTCCTAACGCCGCCATCCGGACGGCGGTGCTTAGCTCCTATAGGCTCGTTGGAAGATGTGCTGGAAGATTTCCAATAGTCTTAACCAGGAACCACATGGTCTGGAAGCAGTCCAAGTACCCATAAGCTCGTCCATTTTCTCTACTCTTTTACCACCTGTTCACCATCTCAAGATACTCGGGAGAATGCGATAGCTTGTACTGAGCTATCCTGCACAAGCCAGTAGGTGTAATATTCGATCGTATTGCGTGATGGGTATTCGGTTAAGTCCGCAGACTTAATAAACACTGGCATGTCGCTACTGTCAAGAAGAAAGCCTGCCATGAGCGCGAAGTAGCTGTGAGGTCAGTTTCACACAAAGGTCGTATCGCATGTCCGCCTCCCACCGGCTCTCCAGTATCGCCATTTGAACATGTCGATGACAGCTTGGACTGAGGCTCGACAGTGGTTGGGAATATGGTGACGTGATGTACGCCGTGAAGCGATGCAAGATGATTGAAGCCTCACACCTCGCTGCTCTTGAGAATGATCGTTTCATTGTCGGCATCATGCTTGGAGTCGCCGCGATTTAGCAATACTCGTTAGCTAGAACTCGATCAATTGCAAACGATAGGCGGTAACTGCACGTTGGAAAGGATACGTAAGAGATCTAGGGAATGCCTCGCGGGGTCGCCTTGGAGTTTGTACAGGGAATAGAGGGTCGTCCTCGACTGCAGGTTGTCATCAGAAGTCGAGCGGGTTATGTCGAAAATCTTTGACTGGTTGTCATAGTGAGAAAATTAAGCAAATAGTTTGAGCAGTCGCCAAACATGAATGAACAAACTGACGGACTGCGATGTACTCTTTCTTTAGTGTAAATACGGAGTATGGGCTTCTGTGATATCCGATGATGCGTTCAAAACATACACGAGTGAATTATGATTCATCTGCTGATGTTTGCTTCTGATGGATGAGTGCGCGGACAGTGGTGTTGAAGTAACCGTTGACTGCCAAGACACATGTGAAAATGCCTGGGGAACGGCAAGTTCCGTTGCGGTAACATGCTTCCCCCTCATCGTCGCCTTTGCACAACAGACGCACAGCTCCACGTACATCAACATTGTCGCAGACAATCACGAGCGACTCGGCGACACCGAATCATTCGGCGAAAGGGTCTGTGCAAGACTAATCAGCCGACCGACGCGCACCTGTGTTTGGCGTCGCGGCTCTGGAGTTACCGAGGCACATGGCTTCCCCACACGAATGACATGCCCCCAGCCGGCGCGAACGGCCGCAACGTCGCGCGTCCGAGTGTCAGATATATTCTCATCTCGAGTTTTAGGCGTAGCTCTCACTCGTACATTCACCTCTAGATACCCGTTTTCCCATAGACTACAGTCAAAATGCCTTTCAACACTGAGCTCACCAGAGCCCTCGGCATCAGAGGTAACTCCACTGGCGCAACATGGAGAGCGAGTAGCTGACACTTAGACAGTGCCCGTTGTTCAGGGTGGTATGCAATGGGTCGGATACGCTGAGCTTGCTTCCGCTGTCAGCAACGCTGGAGGACTGGGCATAGTACGTCTGGCACTCCATTACACATTCAAACACAGTCTCACGATAGCATAGCTTACCGCTCTCACCCAACCCACACCCGAAGACCTGCGCAAAGAGATCCGACGATGCAGAACGATGACCAACAAGCCTTTTGGCGTCAACCTGACCCTCCTCCCTGCCATGGTTCCCCCGGACTATGCCGCATACGCTCGCGTTATTATCGAGGAGAAGATCAATATTGTTGAGACGGCGGGAAACAGCCCTGGACCAGTCATCAAGCAGCTCAAGGCTGCTGGCACTATCATCCTGCACAAGTGCACCACCATCAGACACGCACAGTCTGCGGTCAAGCTTGGCGTTGACTTCCTGTCCATTGACGGCTTCGAATGCGCTGGACATGTTGGCGAGACAGACATTACCAACTTCATCCTGCTCAGCAGAGCCAGGCAGTCGCTGGGTGGTATTCCATTCATCGCGTCGGGAGGTTTCGCAGACGGTCAGGGTTTGGCCGCCGCGCTGGCTCTCGGTGCCTGTGGTATCAACATGGGTACGCGCTTCATGTGCACTGTCGAAGCACCCATCCACCACAACATCAAGCAGGCCATCGTCGACGCACAAGAAACCGACACCGCTCTTGTCCTTCGGCGTTGGAAGAACACATCGCGACTTTTCGCAAACAAGGTCGCGCTCCAGGCCGTGGACGTCGAGAAGACCAGCACAACCGGCAAGTTCGAGGAGGTCGCTGAATTTGTAAGCGGAAAGCGAGGACGTCAAGTATTCTTGAACGGAGACAAGGACTTTGGTGTAAGTGCTACAATTCTCCTCCAAAGTTCGGCTAACTGATAAACCTAGGTATGGACCGCTGGCCAAGTAATCGGCCTTATCCACGACATCCCCACCAACGAAGAGCTCCTCAACCGTATCGAACGAGAAGCTGTCGAGACAATGAAGCAGAACCAAACGCTCTTCATTGAGGATGGAGAGAAGCCTGTCGCTGAAGGCGCTTCAATAAACAAGAAGTCGAACAACCCTCAGGCTGAGGTATGGGGCATCGGCAAGAGCAAGCTATAGAAATGTTAGACTGTATAGAATATTTAATCGAAGGAAGCATCCTCCGCATGGAACACAATAATGTCCCCAGCAGTCTCAAAGTGCATATCTACGCATACCCAAGCCCTGCAGTAGCGCGGTTATCGAGCAATGGCATGGTGCACGGAAGAAAGCAGTTTCGCTAGATTGCTGACCTCACGCGTAGGTTTCGTGTTGAAACTAGAGACCCTGTCGCCACTATGGACACCAACATCCCCATCTTGAGTCACGATGACGTCGAATCCACCCCATGATCACCAGGTACCCTATCCTACGAAATTACTTCTCGACCAACTACCACGGTCAGTCGAATATCCAACGCTTCGACCCTGGATTAGACTCACGAACCCGTTCATCAAGGAGCTATATTGCACAACAAAACCCTTTTCACGAACCTCATTTAGAAGACCACCATCATGTCCTCCTTGACAGGCCAAGAATCTTCCAACACTCAACCTAGAAACCCAGTCAACTCTGGTGAAGACACTGCCGGAACTTTCAAAGGTGATTCAAGCGTTCCATTCAAGACGGGTGGGTCAACAGACCCTGCTGGCTTGAGCGTTCCAGCGGATAAGGTAAGCTTTCCACCCATTATGCCATCTCTTATCACGTATGTCCTGCATGAAGAACAATATTCTGTCAACAGGATACTTACAATCGTAGTCTGCACCAGGCCAGCAAAACGCCTCAGGCACTTCGGAGCAACGCCGCGGAGAAGACGTGACGCAGAACACTAAGCAAGAGTACGAGGGGAGCAGCAGTGTGGGACAAAAGACAGGAAGCGAAAGTTTGATCGATAGTATAGAGAAGAGCGTACACGAGGGTGGTGAGGCAGATCGAAGTGGAGTAGACGTTGGGCAAGTCAGTACTGGGCGATAGGTAGTCAGATACAGGCATCTGGTTGGCTTGCATGTTTCATTAGACTTAAGGTACAGGCTCTTTCCTAGACATTAGGTATGCCTTGTGCACCTACAATAGCCTCAAAGATTGGCCTGAAGAGGCTGCATCTATAATCGAGACCAGACTGTGGCAACACAGTAACACCACTTCCTCGTACATTCCCAACGTCGCCAAGGACACCCAAACTCCAATCCCCTTCTATCACAGTAGCATTCTGGTCTTGGTATAGTCCACCCATGACGAGATCATAGGCGCCGACCAGAACACTACCCTCAGCTCCAGAACCGATCGCATTCCATCCTGGCCCAGCGTACGGGTTCTTCGCGAATCTGGCCCAGGTGCTCTGCATGAACTGTGCGAGAGCGTATTCTTGCGTCGTTGTATTTGCGCGTTCGTACGTACGGAACACAAGAGGAATCTCGGAGGCGTGGTATGCGCCGAGCTGTGGGTACGCTTGCGTATTGACAAAAGAAGCGTTGTAGTAATAGCGCCAGGTAGGAATGCCAACGGAGGCTGTCGCGTTAGCCCATAGTGCTTGTGGACATTGGAATGTGATCTCAGTAGAGATCTGTGAGATCACATCATAGTCGTTGCTAAGGCCATTACTTCCAATTGGGTATGCAGCTTCAATCTCAGGAATGAGTGCTGGGGCGAGGATTCCAAAGGTCGCCTGGACGTAGGCGGTAAGATTGGTTTGTCCAACTTGGAAGACACGCCCTTCCTGTGCATTCGTGCCTCCCAATACTGGTATGTGTGCAATATCTCCACTCAGGCGACGTGCCGCTGGATTTGATACCAACGTGGTGTTATCAGCCACTGGATTAAACACGAGAGAGTTCTGGTTGATGATGTTGCGAACAGCCGTTGCATTCGCGGCCCGCACACAAGTCAAGTTGCTTTCATGTGTACCCGGGCACCCGAGTGTCGCTGTCAGATTATTCCAAGCAGGTATGCTTGAGGTTTGAGGAGCCACGCGATAACTATATTGCCCACTCTGGAGAATGGCAGCCCGGAACGGCGGCGAACTACCCTTCGGAAAGCTGGTCAGTAAAGCATCAATCGAGAAAGCACCCGCACTTTCTCCAAAAATGGTCACTTTGGAAGCATCGCCACCGAAAGCGTGGATGTTGCGCTGAACCCAGTCGAGAGCAAAACGTTGGTCCAGAAAGCCGAGATTGCGTGCCGCTAGTGGCAGTTCCGGTGAAGCAGGAAAGCCGAACACTGTATGTTGTTAGAAAGGGGAGAAGGCGTTTTCAAAGCTTTGGTAGCATCTTACCATTCGTTCTGTAGTTAGTTGTCACTACGATGACATCTTCATAGGCAGCGAAACTGCTTCCATCGTATGTGTCTTGACCAGCATTACCAAATTGGAGTGAGCCGCCATAAATCCAAAACATCACAGCTCGCCCAGCACCACCTGGCGGAGTCGCTGGGGCATAGACATTGAGGTATAGGCAATCCTCCGATTCCTCGGGTGGTGGGTTGTTGAAGACAGCTTGTGTAAACTGCGAGCTCGACAAAGGGTCTAACGACATTAGCGTATCTCAATAAGTTTAATCAATCTCCCATACATCGAAACTGTTGGATACATGCTGGCCTAAATTCTGTGGCGTTGACCGGTTCTTGGAAAGGTACGGCAGCTTGTGGTGGAGAGAACCTTTCTGGTGGTGATGCAAATGGGACACCAAGATATTGATGCACTGGCCCAAGTGCGTAGGGAAGTGAAGTAGATTTTCCGATTATCACTCCGGCATCAATAGTCGCTGTTGGTACCTCACTGTCAGGGGTATAGTCTGCCCAAGTTGCAGTTGGACTAAGAGAAACAAGCACGAGGCCAATGAGGCTGGACGCAGAAGACAAAAACATGCTGATGTTACGAAGTCCTTACTACTACCACAAATCAGCTTCCCATGCTCTTTATACTAATTCGATGGCTAGCAGGCGCGAACCCGAGGTCAAAATGGTAGTCACTTTCGTTGCAAGCCATGTCGAGCTTGGCGTGCATTACGCTGCAGCATCCATGAGGGTTTCGTCCAAACAAAGATGCTTTTTACTACGCGGGGCCGAGGCATACAACCCAGCTCTGCAGCTAGGAAACGTAAGGGCGTCATAGCCATCCCGTGTATGCATTCAGATTGAGGGTGGTACGCAGCTCGCGTCGTTGAGATTGGTGTTGCCATGCATTGCTTGCTAGAGACATAAAAACTTCCATTTGATTATAGCAGCAGGTAAGTTGGAAATATCTAGATGTGGAGAATGCACGAAGAGGCAAGTTTCGAAGAGAAAAGAGGTGTGAAGCTTTCCCACTAAGGGTGACGCGGGATTTTGCGGGGTGCGTCTCGCTTCGCTCCCCTGCCATCAGCAAGCCTCGCCAGAGTCCATTGGGCGGAACAACAAAGCGCCCTTCAATTGTCCCTCTCCATCAACATCGGCAACCACCCGAAAAACGTTGAGATACTCTCGATTCACGATCCATTGTGTTGAAACTGTCATAGCTACGAAACCCAGCATACTGCAGGCGAACCTGCGATTATTCAGACCAGCACCCGGCTCATTCGCGCTCCCGTCGTCATTCCCGGCGACTTCGAGATGTCAATTGAACCATCAGTTCACGAATTTAGTGTATATCTCCTGTATTTTGACACCCGAAACTAGCCGTCAAGTGAAAATAATAAAAGCACAGTACCGCACCATCTAAACTCCAATTTAGGCAGCTCAGTAGAAGGGGATTGAAGGCGCACTATCCTCGCCTGACTCCAACTCTACACAATCCAAAATAGCAAGCTTGGCCACCTAAACAAATCATCCTTTTTTGGAGCATAGAAGATCGTTACCTTTTAAATTGTTCTCTCTCTCAATGCTTTGCTGTGTTGGATGAGCATCCATGCAACGCCACTCCCATGTGGAGTTCCAAGGATAGCCTTTCCCTCTTCACTTTGTATATCGAATGTAATACCGGGCCAAAGTTCGTACATGCTACGACCATGCATCTTGATAATCTTATTGAGCACTAAGAGGGTCTCGGAGTTCTGAATCTGAATGCGGAAGATATAGTTAAGCGATATGGGCTGGACAAGTGGAGAGTGGAAAGAGGAGAGATATTGCAGGAAAGCTACGTCTGACCAGTGGCGCAGTAATGGTAAATCAATATATCCTTTGTCTCCAGCATCGTCAAAAGCTGCTGCATGGGAAGGTGAGAGATTGGTATCCGCAATGAGAACGCCAGCGCTCGGGTTGCTGACTTGAGAGAAGTATCCACGTATTGTCTGAGGCTTGTTAGCACATGTCCAACCTTACAATAAGCTGTGGCGTACCGTTTACTCATCTGTTTCTGCTGTATACACTCCATGTTGATGATGTGTCCTGACGTTCTCTCCTCCATCATATATCATCTTGTGGTTGACGTTCAGGTCGCGGAGCGCTCTGGCGGTACATTCGATTTCGAAGCTAGTCTGGTTGGTCTCCAGGTAATAGCCATGCTGGGCTAGTTCTTTCGTGTGCTTGAATGCGCTTTCAATGGACGTTTTGGTCTTCTTGGTCAACATTTGCAACAGCTTAGTGCCCTTCTCGACGGCTGCCTCATAGTCTTGGTCCTTTGCCATTCTAGAGCAGAAACAGAGAGTGTGTGGCTTAGAAATTAACGGAGAGAGGATTATTTGGAAAAGTGAAAGAGGGAGGCTTTTTGTGAAGGTACTTTCTCGTATGAGAGCGAGAGCTGCAAGGGTAGGCTTCACTATGGATCGAGTGTCAACACAATGCTGTTCGCGCGGTCAGGCCTTGCTTCACCACTCGTACCATTGACAGCTGTATCTACTGCTACGTCAGGATCTCAACCCTACGCTTCGTTTACCCATAATACTGCGAGCTATGATCGAGACAACAAACATTACCTCTCGGTGCCACTTCCAACGCAGCAAAAGCAGCAATCGTCTTGTAGAAGCCTGCGAAGCTCTTGAGCATAGTAAATATGAAAGGAAGGATAAAGCAGAGGCTTCGTTGGAGGCTCTTTTTGGGGAGGCTGGGATCAGGAGGAAGTGTGATGCGAACAGCGATGAGGTCGGGGAAACAATGCAACGACATGGCGGACGGCAGGTTCTATATCGTGATATTCTGGTAAACGGAGAGTGTAACTGGTTCACATGGGCGGATAGTATTGGAAGCAGTCTGGATGATTATTCGCGGCGTTTCAAGATCGTGTACTGCTGCTCAATGCTCAGCGTATTACTGATGGTATTGATATTCTGGTGTCATGGTGATCGAACGATATGGAGCCCACCATATTTCAGCCGGAACGCCTTTGCTACATGATATCAGGCCAATCGGGCCTAGGTACTCCAGCTTCTTTTAAGCGAATTGAAGATTTTTCCAGTTCCTGCGCGAAGTTTCAGGATCATGCCGAACACCTAGCGGTCTCGTATCCAGTCCTTCAGACTGGCAATACTTGATCGTCTCCTTCTTCTTAATCCGCTGCCCTCCATGCCGATATCCATGCTCCTCCTTCCGCCATCTATACTCCTGCGTCCTTTGCTCTCTGTATCCAGCACAACCACGAGAACGGTACAGTTGTCTGCACCCTTCATGTTGCCCTCCCTCGAAGTCAGCTCGTCGGCAATCTGCTTGGCCTCCTTCCCAGACTGCCATCCGTCGACTGCTAGCCGTGTGCATTCCTCTGCCTCTTTCGCTGAACCAACGCCGTCTGAAGCGAGCAGTATAAGAGACTGACCATGGAGAGTGCGAACGGTGAAATGCGCTTTGTTTGATACCAGATCGTGTATTGCAGTCCTTCCTGGAGCAAGACCTGTTTCTACGCCAGCCAGATCTGAAAGGTCGTGACCTGCTAGACGGTTGACGCGAGGCTTCTTGTAATCCAAATCTCCTAGAGCGCGCGACATGCTCACGCCGCCGATGCGTGCAATACCGGATCGGTAGTTGATCTCGCCACCTGCGTCTTCTACCCTTCTCTTCTCCAATGGGCTGTCTGGCGCATGCTCCACGCTTAGAGCCTCCACGTTCCACCCCAAAGAACTTGTGCCGGAGTCAACCCGTGAGGGGGATTGCGGCGATAAGGATTGTGGAGATTGTGGTTCGTGATCTGCGAAGAAGACATGGCTGTCGCCTAGATTGGCTTGTATGAGCAAGTTTTGCTTCGTGTCGACGAGAACAAGAGAGACGGTTGAGCCTCCGTCGAGGTTGTCACGGTCGAGTTCGTGATCTACGGCTTTGAGGGCTAGCTGAATGGCATGTTTGTACTCGGCCGTATTTGATGCCTTGGGGTTGCTAAGATGGTGTTCGAGATGTGTATGGAGATGCTCCGCAACGTGGTTAACAGTCGCCGTACCCCCACTGTGATCCCAAAGTTAGTCTGAAGTCATTACCTCATGATACACGGTAGCACTTACTGGCCATCATACACAGCAAAGAGAGCGAGATCTTTCCGTGACTTGATCGAACCTGGTGTGAGGGTAATGTAACGATCTTCTTGGTCTTGTCGCGCCCCCAGAATCTGTGGGGAAGATGTTAGCGGAGAGTCTCGGTCGCTGCTCGGGACAAGCGGCATCTAGAAGGCGGGAGTATGCAAGGGACACACTACGCACCCTGCTGACACCGACGTCGATAATGTTAACGCTCATTGTTAGTTATTTTTCTTGAATGAATGGGTTTCCGCGTGGGATGTGGTAATGATAGTTGAGCGCCCCGTGTTTGTTTTTACATCAATTGTACCTCGTCATAGGCCAAGCAATGCCCAGCAACACCTAAGGTGGCCATAAGCGGCGGCACACGCGACCATCACAGCCACTACGTCATCTGCCCTCTCGACGTGCATAAACTGAAACCAATCAAGGGACTGCCCGCGCCACAATTTATTGGTTTATGCACTCAGCCTCAATTGCCTAGATCATTGTGATGCGCAAACGTGCAACTGTTGAGCAGTCTAGAGCGTGGGGAGCGTGGAGAAAAGAAGGGTCATAGTGGGGCACGTGACGTCGTGTCCTGCATGTAGAACGCGTTCGGCCCAGAAGTTTTATATGAACAAGCAATTGTGTACCTGTAGATTGGTTTGCTGTTGCGTCTTCACGAAACCTCCGTTTTCAACGAAGCTACGCTTGACAGCCCCGAATCTGTGCGCGATATTCGAGCAGGCGGGGAAGTCCGCCCTCGTGATGCGTTGTTTTTGACATTTGGTACGTCGATCTATCAATGCTTGGCAGTCGAGCGGGCTTCCTCGTGAAGCCTGATAGATGCTTGAAAAGGCTGAGATGTGTTGATAGAAAATGCCTCATGAACTTGCACTGCCTCAAAAGCTAAGAGCTAGCAAATACGGGCAGCTAGTTCGGCCCTTTCGTGACACCCACGAAATCCTCATATTTTCGTCCGAGTCCATTCTGATGTCTTCCGCTGAACATTAGTGTAAGCAGGAGCGAAGGAACGAAAAACGCTCGGCGACGTGCAGACGCGCTATCATGGTTCTCCTCAGCCCTCCCGGATGACACCGCTGTCCATCCACTCCGCTCTCAGCTTGGCCCAGATGCCGTCTCCTCTGAAACCCCAAGCCCACCTCTCATTCCTCAGGCCCACCAGCTTGTCTTCTAAGATACACTTGTCCTCCCTTTGGTCCTCTGTCCATTCGATCTTGGATAACAGCTGTATACAGGAGATCTCTTCGCTCATACAAGCGGTGACAGCGCTGAGACGCTCTTCGGGATCCATATCATACCCGTACATTAGTTCTCGTCCTGTCTCTATGGCTCGTCGGTTGGTCTTCAGATGATCCAACAATCCCTCAGGCACCGGAGGCGATTTCACGCCTTCGATTTTGATACGGCAATGCGGACACGTGCGATATGGGTATTTCGCCTCTTCAATCTTTGGTGTTCTCATCCACTGCTCGAGACAAGCTTTGCCAACAATGTGGCCACAGTGCTTGATTCGTACAGGATAGTCGGCTAACAGCTCTTCGATTGGGCGATCTGCAAGAGAAGTGTATGAGGTTTGGCAGATTGGACAGCAGCCAGCGTTATCGTCGATAATGGAAGCGTTGTCAGCCGTTTGGGTAAGTAGAGAAAGTGGAATGGCGCATGCAAAATGGTCGACTTCCATGAACTGAGTCCTCTCAAAGATACCCTCGCGCGTTTTGAACAATTCAGCATCCATGTCAGATGCATGCTGAAGACGCTCGGTCAGTTTTGCGCCTGCTCTAATGACATCTCCTTGACGTTCAACATAGTTGAGGTGGAACACGACCATGAATGCTGCACGCAATCGCTCCAATGGTGACGCAAGATCACGGTCTGTAAGTGCCATGTAGAGGCGTTCCAGATCAGACCACTCCTCTTGCCGGCCTTTCAACTGCTTTTCTATAGCGCGTCTGAACATCCCTAGCTCGTGCTGACGGCTCATGAACCTGTTCTGATATTCCAGCATACCCAATAGCCATATTCGTGCAGCTTTTGCTTCTTTATCAGTCTCCACATCACTCATGCCTGCGAGACGAGAGGTATGAAGCGGACTCGGAAAATGTTGTTGTTCAAGCTTGCGAAGTTCTACAGGCCCTTGAGGAAATGCGCTCTCTGAGCTCTTTTGACTCTGCCCGAACTTGCGCAAGTCTCGCAGGCTACGAATCCGTGAACAAACGTCTCGATATACTGCGATCGTTAGCGAAACGCTGAGAAGTTGGAAACTTCGGGTGCACTAGGTAATGCGTCTTTTGGGACAAGGGCATATCGAGTTGTGCCCTTATGCTCGAAATGGTGCTTTCAAGGCATGCACTTGTAAGATTGTGCAACTGTAGTATCGGGAAGTACAGCGAATAACCCCAGGGCGCTTTCGACAGCGCGGTTCCAGAGGAGACAACTTGGAGAAAACGAGCTCCTTCTTATAACGTACCTGCTACACTTGCCGGCGCATGGCTTATCAGTGGCACCGAATCATCTGCTTCAGACGCCATGATTGCGTACTCGCAAGGTTGGTTTGCGACGTAACACTATCAGTGGTTTCGAGAGTGGAATGGAGTTGAAAAGTTCAGAATTGAAGGTTGACCAGTGTCACGGCGTTTGCTACACTGCAAGTATAGAAGCGACCTCGGGAGTGAGTGGGGCAGCCCGTTTGCACCCCGCACGTGATTGGTGCCTGTTGCGATTCAGAATATTTAATTGCCGTCTGAATCAAGCATATAGGTGACTAGCTAGTAGAAAGGCTTAGTGAGCCCATCTAAGAGGAAACAATATGCTGACTTAATTCACAGCCAGTGCTGAGCCACCTGTCTCTGATTAATACAACAATTGCAACGCCAATCCTGCCTGGAACCAAAACGTAGACTTCTCAATGCAAGCCCTCCAGAGCATAAGCGACTCAAGACGACCTATCTTTTCTTCATAGTTGCGTGCGCTGTCGATTCACTTGGGAAGATATTGGGGCTTAGGAAACAGCTCGGTTCGACAGTATAGACACGTAGAGCTAATCTCCTGAGCTGCGTGAATCCGGCATTAAAGATATCCACAACAGTAGGTGAAAGACATGAAACAGTCAGTAAATCGTCCAAACTGAGCTCACTGCCAAAGATCATCGACTCCATCTTGTATAGGCCCTCTATCTTCGTTGAAAA